AAAAGGTGATGGGATGTTGTTCGGCTCGTCAAGGATTTAAAAAAAAACGCACGCGCTAGAACCCAAAAAACAACGGGTCGGGTCGGCGACTTTTCTTCATGCTACGTGTCGCTAAAATATTGGTGGCCGAACGTAGAGGAGCGTATGTTCACCGGACCAAATAAAAGCTCCAATTGTAGAGCAACTTAAGTTTAACCCATTGCCAACTTTTCTCTTTCCTCTCGAAACGAGCAATATTTTTGGTCCATAGAAAGGTTGCAAGATTCCACAACTCACATATTGCTATGATCGCATGTGAAGGAATTTATTATTTCATAGTGAACACTTAATTGTTTTATGATCAATCAGGTAGGTTGCTGATGATATCTTTCATATATTAAGTAATTTGGAAATGATGAAATTCATCAATAAATTCAACTTTTTGATCTGCTTGTTATGTCATTATCATTATACTTAACATACTTAATAAATGATTAAACTAACGTGAAAATTGAAGAAATTTGATGCATATGCAACTCTTATGATGTGGATTCCAATCAATGTGTGAATGGCGCAAAAGTAAAATCATGGAAACTTTAGTCATTTGTGAGCAAGTGTTCGCGCATCAACATAAATGGACAAAGCTAAACTTTTGAGAGGGTTCTATATATGCCTTTTGATCATCTTTGATTATTTTCATTGGCTTGATAAATAGTTAGCTTATTATGAAAATAGACGAAAATCCATCTAAATCATCAAAAACATTTTAGTACCGCAAAAATCATTACAAAACTTGTAAATAATAAATATTTTCTCATTAAATCAAAGCCGTTAACCAAAAAAATATCAATGGAGTTGGTGGCCTTTGACCTAGCTTGTTTGTATTTGGATTTTGCTTGACTTGAGATAAATATGAGTCGAACTTGGCCTCAACTCGCTTATGCTCACTTATTTACGGCCTTAGTCCAGTTATGCATTAAGATCTTTAGACTGATGCAATGCACTCCATGTATCATCCTCACATTATTCTATGTATCATTTTGTGCTTTATGAGTTTGGGAATGTAGCTTTACTCTTTGATTGATTGTGCTTGTCTTTTATCATATCATTGTCTTTAAAATACATGAACTATTGAATTAATTATTCTGTGTGGATGTCGAACGTCAGATCAACCAAAAGGTGCTACGTCACCTCTGTACTTGATACCGTAGCTCGGTACTGCTGACATGACACATTCTAATTGATCTCTGGATAGCGTTCTGTGTCTAGTCTCCGCGCAGAATAATTTCTCGAACTATTGGGTTATGTTGACCATGTAGCAGCCCAATATTCTATTGTTACAGTAATTACCGTAATATCAACCAAACTCCTCACTTCTACTATTAACCAGGAGGGAGGACGGAGGCCTTGGAACAGTATCAACTTTGTTTGTGCACATGATGGATTCACTCTAGCAGATCTGGTGACATACAATAACAAGAATAACTTTGCAAATGGCGAAGATAACCGAGATGGAGAGAATCATAACTTAAGCTGGAACTGTGGCGAGGTAAACTAACAATCAATTAATTTACTTCGAAGCTGTGTTCCTTTTTACTGTGAAAATGTCAGCAAATTCGATATAAGTATGGGGAAACGAATCAAAGGAAGCTAATCTATGCTTTTAAGGAACATTGCAGGAGGGAGAGTTGGCAAGCTTATCAGTTCGAAGGTTGAGGAAACGGCAAATGCGTAATTTCTTCCTCTGCCTTATGGTGTCTCAGGTACTGGGGCCCTTGTGGTCCTTATTAGCTTCCCTACAAAAATATATTAGATAATTATGATGGCACTGGAAAATTTTTCTTTTTAGTCTGATAGATCATAGCGTTCAAGGCTTACTTTGGTTTTTTATCATCCCTACAAAAATATTAAAACGATGCATTCTTAGGTTTTACTCCCACCGATTTATTTCAAGCAATCAAATACAACTACTAACGTTTATAAATTCTCTTAAGGCCGAAAATTTAGAGCGAACATAAGCAAATGATAATGTAAAGATCTCGTAGAAATTTAGAATTCTTACAAAGCTCGAAATCTAAGCACATGATATTCAACTAATGAATATAACAAGATCAAATTTTTATCTCACTATATGGAGTCTGCTATACGAATCCTTTTTTCTCCATAGTATTCAACTAATGAACATTGCCCTAAAAAGGTTGTTTTAAAGTTATTGAACACATTCTGGAAATTAAGTGTCCTGGAATAGATGAATTATTTTGTGCGGGTGCCGAACACCATCTTGAGCCCAATGAAAATGCGCCACATCACCCGCTACTCGGTACCGAGCTCGATACTGGATGACATGGCTGCACCTGATTCGTCTCTGAACAGTAAGTTGTGGCTGGTGTCCGCACAAAATAATCTCCCTGGAATGAGCAAGAAGAGAGTCATGATTGCACTCTTTATCTAAATGTTTTCTTAGAAAAAAAAAGTAAATAAATACTATGCTATCTGTCAGGGGGTTCCTATGATTCACATGGGTGATGAATATGGCCACACGAAAGCAGGCAACAACAACACATACTGCCATGACAATTATGTAATACTCTTTATGTTCTTAACGCCTGTGCTCACATTCCACCAATTCGAATCATCAAATAACTAGTCCATCATCATCTTTCCCTTTGATCTACAGCTGAACTACTTCCAATGGGACAGGAAGGAGGAGGCATCATCTGACTTCTACAGATTCTGCCGCCTCATGACCCAATTTCGCCGGTAACATAAACTCTCCTTCCTACCCAAAGTTCTAAACCCCAAACAATCAAATCATTCTCTTCCATTAAATTTCGACTCCCCTGCAGCGAGTGCGAATCCCTCCGCCTGAACGACTTCCCCACAGCCAAAAGACTGCAATGGCATGGCCACCTCCCCGGCGCACCGGACTGGTCAGGGACGAGCCGATTTGTCGCCTTCTCACTGGTATGCTACAATTTACAGTCTAAAATTTTCATATCAATGACCTAACCGCTGCTTTTTCTAAGCAGATAGACGCACTGAAGAGGGAGATCTATATAGCCTTCAACACCAGCCACCTGCCGGTGATCGTCACCCTCCCGGACCGCCCAGGCTTCCGCTGGGAATCCCTTGTTGATACAGCCAAGCCGGCGCCCTATGATTTTCTATCTGATGATCTCCATGATAAGAAAACTGTCACAGAGCAGGTTGCCCACTTCCTAAACTCTAACCTTTACCCCATGCTAAGCTACTCTTCCATTATCCTCCTGCTCTATCCTGACTCTTAAAAATCAGAAATTTATGTATAGATTAGATGAACATTTTGTAAGATAAAAACTCATAATAAGAAATAGCGAGAACTTCTCCTCGTACAATGAGAGATACAGGGGGTTAGTAGGGAGGTGTGCGGGACTTGGTGGCGGAGGAGACGGAGCGCCAAGTGTCGGCGAGGGCGCGGAAGGCGGCGGTGAGGCCGTGGAGAAGGGCACCAGATGTAAGCCCGATGGCGAGGGATTCAGGGTAGCCGGGCTTAGAGTCGAGCTTCATGTCGAGGACGGCGAGGCGGGTGTTGGTATTGTCGAGCTTGCGTTGAAGCTCGGCGGAGGGAGCGAGGCGGCCCCGGCGGGAAGCGGCGGCGCCTCGGAGGAGGGCGGACTGGAGGTCTTCGATGGCTTTGAGGGAGGCGGCGCGGTGGTCTAAGCCCTGGGACTCGTAGAAGGACAATACCTCTTCCGGGCTCGGAGGCCGCCGCTTGTTCTTGTTTTGTTTATTGCCGTCGAAGGCAGCAAGCGGGGGCGGCCGAGATACGGCGGGATTCTTGGGTTTCTCCATGGTTGGTTGCTTATAGGAGGGAATGCGTTGCTAGGGTTTTGGATAGCTGAGCGAAGCTCTTTCAAGTGAAAGGGTTACGGGGGAGAAATTATTAGGTGGTGACACTGGAAGGATGAATTATTTATTCTTTGCGTACACGGATTGTCCGGTTTGTTTCTGTGATGTGCGGTTTTATTATTAATGCTGAAGTTTTATTGTTTATAGAGATAAAATCATAACGTTCTTATTATTTGATGTTCACACAAAATGATCATTTAATTGAAAAAGTTTAATTAGTATGCGCCATATTATCTAGATATAGCGGTTAAGGGTGTAAGTGAGTCGAGCTGGCTCGCGAGCCGACTCGAACTCGACTCGTTTAGCTCAAACACAAACTAGAGCTTGTTTAATAAACAAGCTTGAATTCGAGCTTGAGCCTGACTTGGCTTATGAGCCTGCTCGAATTTATTAGTTTTAAATATTTAAAAATAATAATAATGAATTATGTATAAATACTACTACCTATATTTTAAATTCTCACGTGCATGTATTTCAAGAAATTTTAAAGCATGATTTTGAAATTAGCTACTTTGGCTCTCTCTCACTTTAATAATAAATGTTAATACCTCTATGAAAGTATTAAACGACTTAATCCCTCCCTCTAACCATCTCTCTCTCTCTAAATGAGTTCCTTTATGAGGTGTAAAAGCAGCCGCCTTTTCAATTCCATCAATTTATGTACATTTATTACATTAGAGAAAGCTACACCTTTATTTTCTCCTAAATGAAAACAGGCTAGGAAAACGAAAATTGGGTGGGAAATTGAAAATGGGCACAAAATCTAGCGGCTCTACGAGCTGGCTTGAACTCGTTTGCAATGGGACGAGTTCGAGCTCACTTTCTAACTTATGAGCTGAACTCGATAGTGTTAAAATTTGACTCGTTTACACGATAATTGTGGTACATATAAATAATATATAATAATGATGTGTTACATCTTGATTGGTCTTCGAATGTTGGTGGATGACTACATGTAATGATTTGACAATTATGAAGTGCGTTTAATGCTAGAATGAGATATCCGTCCTGTGACGTGACTATGCTAGTAGGCTTGATAGTAACGCCGTAAGTGCTGTTATTTTTCAAATAAATTTATATATATAATTTGTGTAGATGGAAGAATAAAAGAAAAACTAATATATTGAGTTTTTTAATAAAATATTAAATTTATATTTGTATTTCAATCAAAATATTGACAATTTAATATATTTATCATAAATGAAGGTGACTCGATATTTTATAAATTGCATTTAAAATGATTTGATGTGAGGCTGTATGATGCTATGTTATAAAATAGTTTTTTTTTTTTTTTTGTAATTTCGTTACGTGGCATCATTCCGAATATTTTAGATAGACTCACAATTCTAATAGATAAATGCAACAAATATTAAGACAATTATTAGTTGTGAGTATTTATTGAGTATTTAGTTAGTATTTTCTGCATATCTATACATACATAGTAAATACACAGTCCATATGCGATCTATACGCAATTCATACTCGGTTCATATGTAACATCCGGATGATCCTCAACATTCAAAATTAATACAAAATAATTTCTCATTCTAATAATGATATGACAGTAAAACGATATGTTGGCTTTTCTTTATGGATTAAGATGTTGCTTGTTTGGCTAAAAAAGAATTATAATGTTAGAAGAGTGCAATGTAAAAGAAAATTTTAATGCTGTTTGGATGAGTGTAAAATAAATATATATTTTTTATTTGTTTGATTTGAAGTTTAAAAAGGATGATGATGGTGGATGCAGTGGAGGTGATGGGTGATAGCGATGGTGGTGGTTGATCGTGGAGGTGGCAGTAGCAGATGGTCAGAGGTGGTGATTGGTGATGGGTGGTAATGGTAGTTGATAGTGGGGTGATGGTGCTGATAAGAGATGTTGCTTGCATTGAAAATGTATTTTGCTCAAAATTTGATGAGTTTATTTTATCTCAAAAATTAACTGATATGATTTCCACTAAATAAAATAACCTCCCAATTAAAATATTTTTTTTGCAGCAGTGTCACAATTGAAGATAATTTTGCAAGGACCAAGGTCCTCTTCTCAGGGTGAATTATTACGTCTGATGATCTGACCGTCCGGACACCAATTCAGATGTCATATCATCCGGATACACTGGGCCCCGGATTTATCTGGGTGATGTGACGCGTCTGGATTAGTGCCCGGATGAGTCTCGAGCGGTTATGACTTCATATCTCCCGGTTAGAATTTGACATCTGGAAATTTTTAACAGAATTTAATCATAATATACACCCATATATCTCTATCATTCGATTGTAATCCACTTAAAGTTTCCACTACAGATCCACGGATCCACCCGCCTCGCCCAAATGACTCATCGCTGCTCCTTTTTGCTCCTCTTCCTTTTCATCTCCACCTCCACCGCCGTCGATCTCTCCGCCACCCTCAACATCTCCGATCTATGCTTATACAGTCCCAACCTCTCCTCCCTCCCCTCCGACCGCCTCACCGTCCTCATCTCCGCCTACCACCCCTCCCGCTCCGCCCTCCTTCGCCGCCTAACCCTCTCCTACTCCTCCCTCCCCTTCATCTCCTCCATCGTCATCCTCTGGTCCAACCCCTCCTCCCCTCCCCCTACCCTCCCTCCTCACCCTAAACTCCATCTCCTTCCCCTCCCCTCCTACAATAATTTTAAAATATTAATTTCTTTATTATAATTAAAATTAAAAAAATTATTCAAAAGAAAATCATTTACTCTGACTATTCCTCACTGGCCAACATCAATGTTAACTATTTTAGTTGGCGGGTCAAGTGGGTGGTTGATCCCGCCAATTGGGTGGTTGATCCGACAATATGACATTATTACTCCTTTCCAGATCCCATTTTTCCGTTTCTCCCTGCTCGGTTTCTGCGCCATCTTTTGTGAGGATCGCTAGCTTCAGTACCCCATTCTCCCGATTTCGAGCGCAGAGGAGGAGATCAATACGCCGTGAAGATGGGGAAGAAGCTCGTGATGTTGCCGGTGGAGGAGGTCGACATTTCCTCCGCCAAGTACCACCCACAGAGCATCTCAGGCACGTTTTTCTTTTCAAATTAGGTTTTAACCATGGATAGCCATTTGGTTTGATGTTCAGCTCTTCATGATCGATTGGTTAATTCGGACAATACGCCGTGAAGATGGGGAAGAAGCTCGTGATGTTGCCGGTGGAGGAGGTCGACATTTCCTCCGCCAAGTACCACCCACAGAGCATCTCAGGCACGTTTTTCTTTTCAAATTAGGTTTTAACCATGGATAGCCATTTGGTTTGATGTTCAGCTCTTCATGATCGATTGGTTAATTCGGAATGCAGCTCCCCACTTGACGGGTCTCGCGTTGAAGCTTTTCGTGTGGCTGATCGAGGCCCCGCTGATTGGATCGATCATCTTGTCAGTTATGAAAAAACAGAACAATTTCACGCAGTTATTGAGGAACACGGTGATTCCGGAGAATCCCTTGTTTCGGCCGGAGTACCCACCTCAAGGTAATCCCTCAAAGCGCGCTCTTCTTAGGCATAACTGGCGTCTTGGTGACTAGAGTACTAGTACAATCAGTTAGCGGTTTCATTTGTGCACAGTATATGAATGACTATGCACGTATTTGCTGTACCAGTTTAAGCAAGCCAATGGGTGACGACGAACTGCTAGTATATCAAACAACAGTTTTCAGTTCTCCATCTTCGAATAGAACCCTGCTCTAATATTGTCCGCACATGATATACCACGTTGGTCTTTTGCTTTTTTCTCGACACAACGATTAAGCGTCACAAACCAAAATAAGCCAAAGAGCTTGCTTGATCCGCCACCGCTTGCAATTAAGAAATTAATTCTGCTGCGTAGGTTATAATGAGGAAATTGGTCCTATCTTCGCATGGTATAGCCATGGAGCTACAGTTTAGGTTTAATGCCTTTATATTAAATATGAATACATTAACTTCACAAGTGAAAGTCAATTATGTACAGGGAAAGTCAATTATGCTTTATGTGGAAAAGTTCATTTGTCACGCGATTTGTTTATATTAATAACTTGAAATATAAAACCAAAATCACGCCTAAAAACAACTTGGTTATCCAATTTGATAATTTTTATGAAAGTTTGATAATTGGTCAAACATGATGAAGTGAATGGTGTATATTACTAGTTTCTGAACTACCACTTCTGTTTAATATTTTAAAAATCAAAACCATTGAAATTATTTGAAAGAACTTTTTTGGGAATTGAAAACGGTGCTATTGATAAAAGATCCCTGAGCAATATTGCAGCATTAAATTACATCTTATTTCTCAACCTTTGGACCATCTATCAAATTGCATCTTTACATGTTTGGTCATAACCGACTCATTGTGGAATTTTATAAAATTCTACTGCCTACTCTTTGTGTTTAGTAAGATAAACTTTTTCTTCAGATTTTGCATTTGGGTGTTGCATGGATGAATAAGTTGCTTATGAAATGTTTGATAATTGATCAAACATGAAGATGCAGACTTTGTGCAATACTCATCTCTGGAATCGCTATTTTTGCATAATATTTTTCAGTTCAAAGCTATTAAAACTTTAAAGAATTTTTCGGGAAGGAAGCTGGCCAATGATGGAGAGCTATAGTTTGGTGCTGTGGTATGCATGTTCATAAACTGTCATCTGAGCATTTTTGCACTATGAAATTATATATTGTTTGTCAGATTTTTGAATGCCGAATGATAACTTTACATTTTAGATCATAACCAAGTAACCAACACTTTGTGAATGTCTATAAATTTATTCTTATTACTTAATTTTTTAGTTTGATGGACAGTATTGTCTCTATATTTTGAATTTGGACGTTGCAAGTGAAGTGTAAGATTAATATTTCTAATATAATATTTCAAATATTAGTGTCTTTGTGTAATGATGAAATTAGCTAAAAATTTAAGTCTGTAAAGCTAGACTCTCAAGCCCAAGTTTTTCATTTCCAGAACATTGGATATATAAGTGCATTTTGAGACCAAAAGTAAAATAGTAACTACCGTAATAACTCATAACTCAAGATCTGTTGTTAATGACATATGTGCTGACCTAATCCAGGATATGTAAAAATTATGGATTAAACTTGTTGATCAAAATTTGTAATGTAAATTCCTGATTGCTGAAAGACGAGCATCAAGGTTATGCGACATGCAAGTCTGTTCAATGACATGTCTTAAATGCTATTTCCCCACGTTCATCCATCATCTTTGTAGCGTGTGGCTGTATATTCTCTCAATCAGGTTTTATAGATAAAATGATATTTTTGTTCATATCTCTAATTTTATTTGAAGAGTAATCTTTCGACATATCCCTTTTTAAGCTTAGTAGATTATTTGATCTTTGTATAGTCATTGATGTAGTTGGATATCATCAAACCACAAAATTTTTTTCTGGTCCTGGTTGCATTTTTTTCAATGTGTTAATTTCATGTTGTCGTGTGTTTTGGTCATCATTATTCCTATTCTAGCAACTAATATTGGTGCTTTGTCTAGAAAGTTTTCATATATGAGCATGAAGCATGGGAGTATCAAAATTGACAAGGCCAAATGCCCGGACATTGGGTTCTAAAAATTTAGATGGAGAACTATTTGTAGTTGAGCAAAACTCCATCTATTGATAAAAAGGGTAAAGCCATAATAAGTTCATCATGAAGAGTGTGAGATAATTATCTTTCGTCCAATCAACCCCACCGCGGAAAGGGGAAAACTCTTTCTGGAAGAATTTTGAAACTATTGATCGTTCCGAGGGTTAGGGTCAAGGGTAGGTCGAGCCTAACATCTCTAGCGCCTCCGGCTGAACTATGAGGTAGATCAGCAGATCTTTGACAAAGATTATTACCAAGAGACAATTTTATGACGCGCAGTGTCTGACTGTTCCCTGCTGTTGTGGCTTTCTCATTCTTGGTTGATAGACAAGTTTTAGGGGTCATTTGTCTATCCCTTAGCTTGAATGAGTCTTCAACATTCTTAATAACACCATTATAGTAACTGTTTTGAATACACTCTTGGATATGTATAAGAAGCCTTCATAGATAACAATGCATATATAATGCTCAAATTTTTCAATATTAGGATCTTAGAATGGTTTCTGTTATCGAGCAAATTAAATGAGTTCAAATTAAACACGAGAGAGTTGAACTTTGTGAACATTAAGTTTAACGATGAGATCCATGCCTTAAGCATCATCTTCTATTTAAATGCTTGCAACATGAGTAAGTTCTCATAACATAGGCAATATCATAAGAAGCATATCAAATTCTCTTGATAAGAACCAGTGGTGAAATCACAAATTCATAATAGAAATAAGTTTTAAGGTTTCCCAAGTGAATTTTGATATTTTGACAAGCTTGACGACATAATGAAAGAATGTAGGAAGAAGTGAGAACAATGCTTAAATTTAAAGAGAAAATTGTCATGGTGGAAGATATTCAAGATGAATTGATACTCATTTAATATAATCTAATGAAGATATGAATATTTGATGTAGGTGCTTCTTTCTATGCTTGTTTAAAAAAAATTAGTGATAAGCTACTTTATAAATAATTATGACAAAATATTTATTATTGATGACAATCTCTTAAATATTATGGGCATTGGAGTGTTAAAAGCAAGACATTAAATGGAAAAAACATTGAGGGTGAACAAAGTTAGACACATGCCTAGCTTGAGGAAAGACTTATCTCCATTTAGCTGTTGAAGGATGTCACTTTCAACATTGAATCATTGATATTTGGAAAGTAATGAAAGGTGCCTTAATGACTGCTCAGGGTAACAAGAAACACACTTTTTATATGATGTCCATGTTAGCACACCTTACATGATCCCGCAGGCACAACTTACCGATCACGATCCCCTGCAGCTGCTCCGGCGACACGATTGTCTGCGACGCCTGTACATTCGGCCTGCAGCTAACGGCGGCCTGACATCGCAACTACCTGTCTGCCTTAAGGCTCTATAAAAACGAATGTATCAGCTCCATTTGAATCAATGAAAATCAAAAAGCTTCATTCTCTATATCATCTTCTTCCTTTGCCTTTTCTCTGTTCTTAGTTTTACTCTCTGTTAAAGCTTCTTTATGGTATCAGAGCTGTAACACTGGGACTACGCACCTATCCAACCAACAATGACGGATCCAAACTCAGCCACCCAATCTAGGACGACATCCACATTGTCGTCCTCCATGGCCAACATCGTCATACCTCCCGCCCTCAAATTTTTAATGTCTAACCTCAAGCTCATTGTTCACACACAGCTTACAACAAACAACTACGCCATTTGGAGACTTCAAATCCATCAGACTTTCACTGCCAACGGCTTTGAAGGATACATTGCCGGCACGATCACCTGCCCTCCCGAATCCTCAGAAGAAGACCACAAACTCTGGAAGTTGATTGACCAGAACCTCATCTCAGCTTTGTTTTCAACTATTTCACCATCTGTACTCCCCTACATACTACATCTCAAAACCTCATGTGAGATCTGGAAAGCGCTCGAGCTGCGACTACAGCCCACAAATCGCTCCCGCGTCATTCAATTAAAAAATGAGCTTCATAATGTCCAAATGATGGATCAGACGGTTGCTCAATACCTGGGGAAGGTAAAGTCTCTTGTGGACAATATTGCAGCCGCTGGAGGATATGTCGACACTGAAGACATCATTCTGTACACACTCAAAGGCCTACCGGCCTCCTTCAACCCCTTCAAAGCCGCCATAAAAATCTCACCTCTACCATTCACACTCGAATCACTGTACTCACTGCTCTGCAGTGAAGAAATCAATCTGCAAACCGAGATACAGCAGGAAACCACCGTCACTTCCGAGCAACAGGCTCTATACACTACACGAGGACGAGGCCGCACCTCAAACTATAGAGGGAGTCATGGCAGGGGAGCCCCACTCAATCAGTCTACAACACCACATAAGCAACTCACCAACTCATCCCGGTCTGTAGACAGACCCACTTGCCAGATCTGTGGCAAACCCAGGCATCTTGCCTCAGCTTGCTGGCATCGGTATAACTCCAATTATACCCAACCGGCACCTCCAAACAGAGCCCTTCTCACCCAGTCACAACCCACAGCCACCACCGATTGGGTACTCGACACCGGTGCATCTACTCATCTTACATCAGATCTCACCAACTTTCAGCATTCTACTCCATATCAGGGAACGGATTCTATCTCAACAGCAAGTGGTACTTCTCTTCCCATCCATCACACTGGTGCCGGTTTACTTCCCCTTCCAGATTCCTCCCGTAAGCTAAAACTACGAAACCTGCTTCACGTTCCTTCTCTTTCTCACAACCTCTTATCTATCTCTAAATTAACACAAGACAATAATTGCTCAATATCATTCGATTCTAATGTTTTTCTTCTCAAGGATATGCAGGACAACAAAGTTCTGCTTCATGGACACCACCGTGACGGCATCTATCCAATCCGTCTCCCTCACCCTGCCTCAATTCAAGCTCTCCATACAACCAAAGACTTCACCTCTCTCTGGCATGCTTGTTTGGGTCATCCTCACCATCGCTCAATGATCCATCTATCCAAGCTACTTCCGATCAACCACCTTAGGCTTTTACATTTTATATGCGATTCCTGTAAAGTGGCCAAGAGCCACAAGCTGCCCTTTTCTTCTGCAGCTACTCATGTAAATACACCTTTTGCTTTAATACATACTGACGTTTGGGGACCGTCTCCTCTTCCATCTCACTCTGGTTTTCGCTATTATATCATGTTTATAGACGATTGCTCGATTCTGTTGGCTTTACTTAATGCATTCTAAAAACGAATCCATTAACAAGTTTCAACATTTTCATTCCCTAATCAAAACTCAATTTACAACCTCCATCAAAACTCTACGCTCAGACGGCGGCGGCGAATTCACCGGCTATGCCTTTCAAAAATTTCTCTCCGAGCACGATATACGTCATGAGCTCAACTGTCCTTACACCCCTGAGCAAAATAGCGTCTCTGAGAGAAAGCATCGCCATCTCATAGAAACAGCTCGCACTCTACTCCACGCAGCCAGCATTCCTTTCTCCTTTTGGGCTGAAGCTGTTCAAACGGCGAACTATCTAATCAACCGCCTTCCCACATCCTCTCTCAACAATCAAATACCCTTTCAGCTTCTTCATGGACATCCTCCATCCCTCATCTCAAAGTCTTTGGTTGTTCTTGCTTTCCTTGGCTCAAACCTCAATCTCCACACAAACTAGCACTGAGATCCTCTCTACGCATCATCCTCGGTTACTCCACTGCACACAAAGGATACAGGTGCTTCAATCCCAGCACTAAGAAAATCCACATATCTCGTCATATAACCTTCAATGAACAAGAATTTCCTTACACACTCTCATCTTCCAACAAACAATCTTCTCCTGTCCCATTTATTCCACCGTCGCTGCTTGTTCCGTCTTCCACCTACACTTCTCCTCAAATACCCTCTCCTCAGCAGCCCCTCATCCTCGAACCAACCATATCAAATCCACCTCAATCACCTATCACTCAAAATATTCCTGATCATCCCGTTTCTGCTCCTGAAATTTCAAACCCACCCGCTCCCGCCCAAAAACACCACATGACCACGAGATTTCAAACCGGCAATCTCAAACCAAAGAAAATCTTTGATCTACTTGTTGTTACAGATAAGCATCCCACTCCTTCGTGCTATACAGAAGCTGCAAAGTTCTCTCACTGGCGTCAATCTATGTCCTCAGAATTCATGGCTCTTAAAAGCCAAGGTACCTGGCATCTTACTCCACCGCCACCTCATACACCTGTGCTCGGCTGCCGTTGGACATTCAAGACCAAACTCAACACCGATGGAACTGTGAATCGCTACAAGGCAAGACTTGTTGCACAAGGCTTCCGTCAGGAAAAAGGTGTCAACTACCAACAGACCTTCAGCCCCGTCGCTAAGATGCCCACCATCAGGGTCCTTCTCATCATCTCTCTCCATAGGGGCTGGCCGATCCATCAATTTGATATCAACAACGCCTTTCTCCATGGCGATCTCCAGGAGGATGTATACATGAAACAACCACAAGGTTTCATCGATCCTCAGCAACCCGATCATGTCTGTAAACTGAGAAAAGCACTATATGGTCTCAAACAAGCTCCCCGTTAGTGGTTTCATAAACTCAACTTCTTTCTGCAAGCGTTCGGGTTCCATTTCAGCAAAGCTGATCCTTCCTTACTCATCTATGACAAAAACGACACTCAGCTGTATTTGCTCATTTACGTCGACGACATTCTCCTCTCTGGCAATAATCAGCACACTCTACAGCAACTTCTGGCTCAACTTAAACAGACCTTCTCCCTCAAACAACTTGACCATGCCAATCTATTCTTAGGCATTCAAATACAAACCTCACCCACTGGTCTCTTCCTACATCAAGCTCATTATGCCAGGGATATAATTCACTCCGCCGGACTTGACTCCTCCAAGCCAGTGATTACTCCCATCTCTCCCAAGGAAACAAATCCTCTACTGACAATCCTACATTTTATCGCCAGATAGCAGGTTCACTGCAATATCTCACAGTGACACGGCCGGACATTGCCTTTGCAACTAATATCATTTGCCAACATATGCACAGTCCAACGGCCTCCGACTTCAAACGCCTCAAGCGTCTCATACGATACATCAAGGGAACACAATCCTACGGTATGCAAATCTCTAAGGGAGCTCTCAACCTCACTGCATATGCTGATGCAGACTGGGCATCAAATTCAGAGGATCACAAATCAATCTCTGGCTTCTGCGCGTACCTAGGATCAAATCTTATATCTTGGAGCGTTAAGAAGCAGTCCACAGTGGCTAAGTCGTCGACCGAAGCTGTTTGCTGCTGTGACATCCGACGTCATCTGGCTACGACGTCTCTTGAACGATTTCAAGGTCACACAGCTCACTTCGACTCCAATCATGTGCGACAATGTCTCGGCCATTGCCCTTGCTAATAACCCCATCTTCCATGCACGCACGAAGCATATCGAAATTGATCACCATTTCATTAGTGATCATATCACCCGCCAGACCATCACGCTGAATCACATCAGCTCAGTCGATCAACCGGCGGACATTCTTACCAAACCGCTCACTGGCAACAGATTCACCAGTATACGCAGCAAACTGACCATCTGTGACTCAGATCGTCACTTTGAAGGGGGATGTTAGCACACCTTACATGATCCCGCAGGCACAACTTACCGATCACGATCTCCTGCAGCTGCTCCGGCGACACGATCGTCTGCGACGCCTGCACATTCGGCCTGCAGCTAACGGCGGCCTGACATCGCAACTACCTGTCTGCTTTAAGGCTCTATAAAAACGAATGTATCAGCTCTATTTGAATCAATGAAAATAAAAAAGCTTCATTCTCTGTATCATCTTCTTCCTTTGCCTTTTCTCTGTTCTTAGCTTTACTCTCTGTTAAATCTTCTTTAGTCCAACAATGAAAAAATGCGAGCCGTTGCCAGTGCGGAGGAAAATTTACATCTATAACACCAAAGATTAGGTCATAAAGCAACAAAAGTGTAACAATTCTCTATGACAATGGAAAATCTTCACATTTAAAATATATTGAATGCTCTTTGTGCAAAGATTGCATTTTAGTCAAACAAAGATGGGTTGCTTTTTTCAAGGCTGCTAGAGAACTTAAGACCAGAGAGTTGGAGCTGGTTCAAACATAGATATGTGGGTCCATCCCCATTGCTTGCGTAACAAGATCATTTTATTAGGTCACCCAATAATATAAATGATGGTTTTATTTTATTCAGAATAAATCTGAAGAGTTTTTGATTTTTTTTTACTGGAAGAGCTTAGTGGAGAATGAAATTGTTGACAAAATAAAATGCATACATTTAAACAAAGTGGAAAATATGACTCTAAATAATTCAAAAACAAGATGCCAGATGAGTGGAAATGTGTGTTGATTTAATTTTTAAGAATAAAGGTGATGCACAAGAGTGTGCGAATTGTAGAGAAATCCGTATGTAACCTAAGATTCCAACCCTTCCCAAGCTCTCATGCCCGTCTTCGGCCTCCCGTGGTTTTGACCCGCCGCTCTTGTCCTGATTCCGGCCTATCCGCTCGAACCCACTCCCTCTCTCTCGATCTTCACGCACATGATCAGAACCGCATGAGTGGACCTCATCGACCCATACAGTCGTCTGAACAGCCTGATCGACCCCTCCTCCTTGCTCACGACTTCATGCTGACCCCAATCGCTCAACCCGTCGTTGTTGTCATCATCATCTATACACTAAAATGTATAAGTTTCTATCTTTCTTGCTTAAACAATTGGTATTGAAGAACCCGCGCCAGTCATATTTGATCGGATATGGAGAAGAAAAATAACTAAATAAGACTTGTGTACGTTGTATCTTTGAACCGGTCAGGAGAAATAAATTATACAAAGACCTCGCGTCGTCATTTCTTTGAGCCATCCGGAATGAACAAAGGCAAGTGCCTACCCGACACCCTCTACACGGGGTTTGGGATGCCAGGACGCTACCAAAATTTTAAACAACAAAGGACATTTACTTAATTAAATTAAAAAAAATGAATTTTTGGATAAAAAATGAATGACAAAAAAATCATATATATCTAATTTAATATTAAATAATAATTATTATAAAATAAATATATCTAATTTAATATTAAAACAAATAAAAATATTTTCCTTCCAAATGATTGCTCGTGGGATGGGGAGGAAGTTACTCTACGCTCTTTTTTAAGCTGTCTCTTCGTCTAGATCTAAAACGGTTTCCAGCAAAGAATAAGCTGTGTGGTGGGCTGTTACTTTTATCATATGGTAGTTTTTTAAGTTTATTTGATTGATTTTTTCAGCACCAGAAACTGGGGTAGCTGTCTTAGATGAATATGAAGAGCCTGTTCTTCGTGTTGAAAAAGCCTTAAGCTGTCTGTGCTCATATGATCCTAGTCAAAGGTGTCATGAGGACTCCCCACCATTTTTGTATTGGACAATTCGTGACTTTGAATATGCTTATAGAAATAAGCTTGCAACTCCATCAACTGTAAGCTACCAAGAATTTGCTATGTTTTGCTATTTTGAAGTTTATAAACTTTTGTCTTTAGCTTTACAAGAGTGTTTTTCATGCAGGTTGCCGAGCATATAATTTCGATAGTGGAAGAATATAACAATAAGAAACCTCCAATGCCGTTGTTGATTTTGTTTAATGCAGAGGAAGTAAGAAAGCAAGCTGCAGCCTCCACCCAAAGGTTTGAAGAAGGTGCAGAAAGATGTGTATTAAGTGATGTATTAGGACCTTTTTCCCAGTCAAAATCATACTGCTTTAAAAAATTCGTGTTTATTATTCAAGGAAATTATTATGTTTTCAGATTTAACAAAATTACTGCTCTTTTCTTTTAAAATTAGGAATTCACTCCTCCCTTTTGTTCTGGCAATGTTGAATAGTTTTTTCTTCTTCCCTTCTGTTTCAGCTTCTAATCTATAATTCCGACTTTGAGGGAACTTCATATCTGTATTTTGCGTGACTTAGTCTTAAGTATTAGCTAAAAAGAACTCTGATTCTATCCTCATTCTCAACCTTAACATCTCTCTATTCAATGCCCATCCTTTCTCCGTTGCAAACTTTTCAAATCTTCATTATAATCATGATCGCATTCACTTCCTTATGATAATCCTTTTTCCAACTAGTAGGTTCAACTGTATGAACCCTTGTATGATGTTTGCCCTTTGTGAACTACAATTTATGTTTAACTCTAGCTTTTTTTTTTCCATTTTTTATAACCTATTTTCCCATCACAGCTTAAAAAAATGAATTAGTCATTGCTAACTGATTAATTTCTTCTATTCTCCAACAATTTAATGGATAAGATTTAAGCCATTCTAGTGTTATCAAAATCATTGCAAGCAAGAGGCATCTCCATTCCCTAGGTGCTTTTCTGAGTGGAATGAGATCTTTAAAGGGTTGTGTTTTAATCACTTAATATGTTTTCTTTATAAGGAATATTTGAGCATATATAATAATAACTGCCACAATAGACGTGCTAAAATATAATTTTTTAATGTTTCAATGCACTTGTTTAAAAATCTAGCTAAATAGATACTTATAAATAAATGAATTTAGATTACTAAAAATTGTCGCATGTATAATTTAGAGATAATCTAGTCTCAATGACTATTATGTCTTTATTATCATCATCATTCATTCTCTCTTTTCCATCACTAGATTTGTAGTCGAGCATCTATTTCCTTATCTCTTTAACACGGTTTTCTTATTCTTTTGATTTTCTGGGACTTGATACTCGTCCACCTAATTTGTTCCTGTTTTCCAACCTGTTTTATTTGACCCCATGTTAAATTTTCATCTTATTAACTAAGTTATCTTTAGATTTTAAAGAATTAACATTCATCTCTTCAGTCAAGCTAGGTGCTCTCCTCACTGCTTGGGTCCTTAAAAGAAAGGCGCTAGCATAGGCAACACCGTAGTGATGAAGACTACTGGGAATATACAAAGCACGATGGCTTTGCCTCGCCTAGGCAGCTAAGGAGTGCTTAATTCTCTAGTAACATCACACTGATATGAGCTGAAAATATTCTAATGTTCATTGTCTACCACTAGCTCCATTAAACTGATTGCAAATTGCGATTGGCAACAGGAAAGCTTAAGAGAGATACCTCTCAATGTGGCATAGCTATAAAAATATTTTAAATACAATTTCTGTTTCTCCCAGAAATTAGGAAAGGAGTATTTTTTCATTATGTTAATATAATGGAAGCTTCAAACATAATTGTTCTTAATATCTTCCGATTATTTTGTTTATAGTATTGATATTTTACATTGTTTACACTGGGTCATGCAGGGAAGTCCATATCCATCCTTGATGGCATATTTGTTGCAATTAAAGATGATATAGACTGCTATCCTTACCCATCGAAGAGTAATGAATGCTACACTTAACCTTTATTTTCTGTGGAAAAGATGCTTATCATTTTAGGTTCAACTTCTCAGTTGGATGGCTGCCGTGCAGGTGGAACATCATGGTTACACAATACTAGGGAGGTGAAGAAGGATGCAGTATGTGTTTCACGATTGCGTAATTGTGGTGTCATTTTAATAGGAAAGGCAAATATGCATGAATTGGGTATGGGAACGACTGGGAATAATCCAATCCATGGGTATGGTGGACTTAGTTACTGTCCTAGTTCTAGTACATAATTTTGACAAAGTTTTATTATTTTTCACTTTATAGCAAATTTTCCTAGTGGCATATCATGGTGCTGGTTTTTGGTTTGAGTGTCTCGGTGGCTTTCAGTTTGACCGTGATCTTAGTTTATGCTCTTTTGTTTCAATTTTTGTCAATTCTACTTTATGTATCAATATTCCATTGGAATTGCCTTTGATTTAGTAGACTAGACTTTCTCATCTTGTGATTGGCTGTATTTGTAGGCTATTAAATATGTTAGAAAAGGATATTTTTATTTAATAACTAATGATTTGGGTTGTTGATAATATTGAGAATGCCGAGCCTTAACCTAAAGCTTAAAGAGTAAATGGAGGCGAGAACAGATGATTGGGACAGAAGGATGGTTGAATTTCTCAAGTGTTTCTGGCCTACCATTTTCTCAACATTTGCATACATAATGATAGAATGGTTACTGTGGACAGCTCATGATTTCATATGTAGGCATTCCTGTAACAATTGATTACAATATATAATCAATTTAATCATCCAATGTATAGAAGAGCTATTCGGCTTTGATCTCTTCATTTTAGATATTTGCATATACGAAGCGTTACTGTTAGACCGGTCTAGGAGGGACCGACCGGCTCTGTTCTATTCCAGGCGGAAGCCTGGTTCGCCCCCCCTTTGGGGGGGTGGGGGGATCCCACGATATAATACAAAGAGAGGAGGGGTCAACAGTGAGAGATTTAAAAATTAGAAGGGCTATTTTGGTATTTTGCATTTTATTGTTTGCTTTAAGTAGTTGGTTTTGCCCTAGGGTTCGTGTTATGTGATGTTTTTGCTGAATTGAGTTTTTCTAAGGAGAGAGAAGGACTCTAGTGGGCGGCTAGGGTTTGGGAGAGCCGGATCTTTCTCTCCAATCGAAAATCCATTGTATCTTGTTTGTTTCTTTTTCATATCATCAATTAAAAAGTTTCTCTTGTGAGATTCCACATAGATCTTTCTTGTTTACTGTTTTGGGCTCACTGAAGTTCAATTTCAGCCAAGGTTTTCTCCTATTTCTAGAAGTGTTTTTTATCAAATTGGTATTAAAGCGCTTTTTTGGGATCAATGGTGGTGAAGAAAATGGAGGTGTTGAAAGGCGAGATAAAATCTCAAAGCCAAAGTGAAGGAATTGAGGAAAGATATTTTGGCATGGAAGGGAGGCTCTCATCCATATAGAGCCGCTTCGGAAATATGGAAGACCTGATGAAGAAGTTGATTGAAATGCAATCAAAAGCCTCATCAGCGGTTCCGAGGGCTAAACCAAAGGGGAAGGAGATTCCAGAGGATGATGATAAAGTGGAGAGTGTTTTCCATCAAGGACCGCCACAGCGGGCTTCGTTGGTGGGCGAATCGAGGTATTTCGAAGGAAGGAGAACAAGTAGGAGGGAGGTTGAATCCTTTCGGAGAATACCCGGGTATGGGGAGAGGTGGAATGGTGGAGGTCATGGTTGGGCGGAGTCATGAGGTCCAAATCAACCAAGGGAGTAAATGTAATAACCCGTATTTTAACCGAGGTAAATTTTTTTTTCTTGAATCAATATAACTTCAAATCGCAAACCATCTTCATCATAGTATTGTTATTATAGTATTTTACTTGCACAAATTTTTTCTTAACTTTTGGGCACTGTCAAAAATTCTTTAAAAATTGACACCTATCGATACATGTGAGTATTTTGGGACCGTTAGGTGTCCGTTTTGCAAATTGATTTCACCAATCTTTTTTAAATGAAATGATTTATTTTATGGATATTTTTTCTATAATTTTTAATGCCCTAAAATGATTTATTTGAATTTTATACTAAAAGAAATTAATTAAAATAATTATATGATATTAAATTATTATTTTAATTAAATATCCTAATTCACTAAATCATTTTAAAGCCTCGTCCCTTTTCATTTTTGGCTAACAGAGAATGCTCGTGAAATTTTGAGAGAAATTTAATTAGAGAAAGGAGAAGCTCATATTTGAAGGTCGTAGAGCGATTTTCGTCCATCGATGCTGTTGGAAGATTTACTCATCTTGCTGTAAGGAACCTATACCCTATTTCTAATTTCAAAGATTTATGTTTTTTTGTATTTTTCCTATAATGCACAGACACGGACACGGCGACACGACACGAACATAGGACACGTCAGTTATTGAAAATATAGGACACGGACACGGGTTTGACACAATATTATAGTTTTTATATTTAAAAAATAGTATAAAAATTAAATAAGTATAATTTTAAAAATAATTTGAAAATAATAAGTCATTTAACTAGAATTTGTTCTTAAAATGATTAGTATTGAGATGTCGAGAGTTGGGCGTCAATGCCGTTTATCAGTCACTGAGAGAGGAGATGAAAATAGCTTCATTGCCAAAAAGAAATGAAAATGAGAATATTCGATGATTGGGTATTAAGTGCGGACGTTGATTTCGTGTTGTGGATAGGAAATAAGAAATTTAGATTAAATCCCGTTAAATACAAGAAATTATATTTAAAAAAATTCATAAAATATTTAAGATATGCCTGTCAGACACGCATGTCCAATTTGTATTTAATATTTTTTAATTGGACACATTTTCGGTGTGTACGACACGTGTCGGAGGAGTGTCGGACGAGTGTCGTGTCGGATACGGTGTTGGACACTGCACGCCTCTTTGAGGTGAAGTGTCGGTGCATCATAGTATTTTTCTGATCAAATTTGTGTTTCGGTTACCAAAAAACGTGAATAATTTTATATTGGTAAAACTTTCACCGCATAACTTTTTGTATGTTATAGAGATTGAGATTATGAATATTTTGAGTATTCATTTAACTTTTTTCACCGGGTGATTTTGAAAACACAATGATTTTTGCCTACTCAAAAGTTTATTTTGATGTTTAAAAATAGTAATTTAGTTCAACTAAAGCTTTAGAATGTTATTTTATGCAATATTTGATAATTTGGTTTAATTCTGAAAATGTGAATTTTTGCTTAATATGAATTTTATTGTCTACCATTATGACATTTTGATATTTTTTTAATTATGCTCAGTTATATTTTATTTGCTGCAATGTATTGAAAATGAATGTGGATATGTGATTGAGATTTCTGTTATAATACTGTGATAATAATATATGTGTAAAAGACAAGTAAAGGCTGGTTGACCCATTAGTTTGTTGACCTCCATGTAAAGACCAAAAGAGGAGAGTAGAAATCCTGCATATCTCTATCGCCTGGATCCCGCAAATCCTGCCGAAGTCCCGCTCGATTCTCTGCAAAACGGCGCCGAAAGCAGTCCATCCCGCGATCCCTGCAGAAATCCCGCCGAATCGTGCTCTTTTGCGTCGTTAAATAGAGGCCGAGACCTCTCCTTCAGTGGCGGCTTCCACGAGCACTTCACGACCAAAATCCCTCCCACTCTCTGCTATCTTCCAAAGCTCTCCCGCTTCCCTGCTCCAGGAAGCCCGAACTTCTTCCACGATCCTCTCTCGCTCCCCCTCTTTCGTTGCTGTTCGGCTTCGGTGCTTCACAGGAGGTGTAGAGATTGCAGGCGCCGTTTCTTCAGCTCCTTCAGGGCTGTTCGACTGTGCTCCTTCGCCGACTTTCCCTTCCAGTCGGTTCGGAAGTGACGACATTTTGATCGGAAATAAGGGAGCTCGCTGGTGTGAATCGACTTTCTCCCTTTCGCGGTTTCTCTAGCCGAATCCCCATCTGACCTCCCTCATAGCCGAGTCCAGTCCCGTCGCCCCTCTGCTGCTTCCGATCCCGAGAGAGAGAGAGAGAGAGAGAGAGAGGAGTCGAAGCTTGTACCTGAAGCCGGTCTTCTCCTCTGTTCCCCGACCAAAATCCCCCTCTCTGCCTCTTGCCCGAGCCCTCTCTTTGCCTGCACCCGAATTTAGAGAGGGTAATCCCTCTCTCATTTCCTTTTTATGTATATTTGTATTCTTATTAATATTAATGATTATTAATGTTAATATTAATACTAATATTATATTACTACTTATAATAATATTACTATTATTAATATTATTTAATAGTAATATTATAATAATTTAGTAGTAATATAATGCAAAATATTTTCAAAAATACCCATACACGCTTTTCTTAGCGTGGTGGGGGATCAAAAATACACGGCCGCGGTGTCCTCGAAAGAGGGCACCTACCATACACGCTTTTCTTAGCGTGGTGGGAAAGGCCCAGTTTTCCGTTTAGGATGGTGGGCTGACGGACTTTCTTTTAAATACTGTGGTTTTATGTTATCCTCTACTAATTCATGTGATACTGATTGAGAGTTATAAGGAGATGGTTATTGTGCAGATGGGCAAATAGTGACGACTCTGTTTACTGAGCCAATGATTTACTGATACTGATACAATACTGAAAAACACCGTAATAGCCAGGACTTTTTGTTTAGTGTGACTACTAAAATACATATTCTTGAGGCATTGTTATGGTACGAATTTATTGTTACTGCACGGATTTAGTGTTATTGCATTATTTTACTGCTCTTGCTACTGAACAGTTACTGACATAGATACAGATACTATTTGATACTTCTTATTCACTGTACTGATACTACTAAACATGTGATATACTGAACACGCAATATAGAATAACTGGATAGCATGTCTACATTTCTTATATGATTTTATTGCATTGATTCGATTTCAATAGTCTTTACCGATATTTTGATTAGATATTTTATACAATTTCTATACTGATTGGTATTACGGATGCGATAATTACTTTATAGATTTGACACTCGTACTAATTTACTGTTTTACTAGCTTTCGCACTATAGTGTTTTACTACTACTACAAGTGAATTTTACTGTTTATGCACTAATTCAATGATCATATGAATGTAATAGCTATGCTTTGACTGCTGACATGCATATTGCTCATTTGTCATACTTTGAATTCAGTTGTAAATTTTGGTGACTTGCTGGGTTTTTTAGCTCAGTATATGTGGTTAAATGATTTCATGTCAGGGCAAGGGAGCAAGAGTGTGAGGCTGGTCGGGATTCTTCAGGTTTTGGTTCTTTTTGTTTTAGTATTCTTTTGTACTCAAGATATGATAGGTATGCAATGATTGTGTAGATCATGAATAGTGTATATGATTTTTGGGAATGAATACAAATGTGTACATTAATGTTTTGAATTATATAATATGTTTTGTTGTTTATTACTTATATATGACATCAGATAGCTCTGGTTATTATTTATTAAAAAATAAATGAATAATTATTCCAAATTATATTTTGGGGCATTATAGGAAGGGAAGGAATCGCACCACCGCTATAGAGGGGACCTAAAGTAGGGAGAAACCATTGGGGTATGGATGCGAGATCGAGGAAACTAAAGATGTCATTTTTTAAGGGAAACATGCTCAGGGTTAAGGCCTTGTTTGGTTCAGCTTAATTACACCATTTTCTGGTTCGAAATGACAAACTCAGTTGATGTAACTTGTTTGGAAGCCCGGCTTTTGTAAAATTATTTTTCCCAAAACTTCATTTTTTTTACAGTCCGAAAAAGGTATTAAGTATCTACTTATTCATTTTAAAATCTATGTTTTAAAATGAAATAGTCGAAATTATCCAACACATACCGTTAACAACACGGAGAAGACACTCATCACGAACTATTAATCCAGAAGCGGATGAAATAGGTTGAGGCGATATCGATGAGGGAGACGAATCGTGGCATTGGGGGAGAGCAGGTATGGAGACGAAGGAATAGAGATTTGAATTATTCTACTGGAGGAGGATTTATAAGCTTTTGCAAAGCATTTCATTACCAGACATGATTGGTGAAAAGCTCTATTACCTCTGTACTTTTGACATTCATGAGGCGAGGGAGAACAGCTGGAAAATATAACATTTTTGCTTTTTTGAACTTTGCGTTGAACTTTTTCATTGGAAAGGTGGAGCTTTTTTTTCCTTTTATATTTTATTTAAAAATAATTGATGATGTGTATATTTTTATTTTAATGATTTACTCTGCTTTAAGTTTGTAATTAATAGTTGTTGATTAGAGATAATAACTAAAATGATTAAATAATAATTTTTTAAAATATTTTCACTTAAAAAAATTTAATCATAAAAAAACATTATAGTATTGATATATCTTCAAAAAATAATTTTCAGCTTAAAGCTTTGGCACTGTGAAGGAGGAAAAAATATTTTGTGCGGACGCCGAACGTCATTCGGAGACCAATCTGAATACGCCACCTCACCCTTTTACTGTACCGCGGCTTGTTACCGCTCGGTACCGTGGCTCAGTACCACGACATTCGGACATAGAGTTGCATCCGTCGTCCGCACAGAATAATTTCCCTTGAAGGAGAGGATTGCTTGTTAATTATTTGGTAATGACTATTCATTTCATAATGTGTACCTTATCTGATACTTTAAATTTAAATTATCATACCTAAAATATCTATATGTACTTATATGTTATATAATTCTTAAAACTCGTATTAATTTTTTTTAAAGAATGTCATATGTATATATATTTATATAAATTTTATTTTTGAAAAAAATTATTTATGTACTTAAATTTGAGAGATGGGTAATTTATTCTTTTATTATGAAATCACTAAAGCTAAAAACTGAAACAAACAATTAATATATGTTTTCAAGTTTTCATAAGCACTTAAAAATAATGTAACACAAACAACAACCTATTATTCAAACAACCTTTTGTAAAAGCGCTTTTCTGTTTTCAAACTACATTTTATATAAGCAAAAACCCAACCAAATGAAGCCTAAGTGTATCAGGTGGAGCATTACTTTGCTATCAATGGGTTGATGGAAGGGGAAAAACTGGTGGCGGCGGGGCGGGCCTATGTTTGGAGGTAAAAGCCTTAGGTTGGTTTCAATGGTTGGAAGCTCGATATCTGATCTATTCATAGGGGGAATTTAAGGAATGTTTGTTGGAACGTTTCCGATCTATTCAAGAAGGAGACCTCCACGAACATGTGAATTGGCTTATTATAATCACAACATAAGCTATATATGGCGTCATATATGCAAAAAGCTCTTCCACTAACAATCAGTACGCTTCCTTGTTATCATATGTTCTTATTTTGTTTATCCTAATTTATGATTAGTTTAATTAGTGTATAAGCATGTTTATAACTCACCGTTTCTTTTTCCTTGAATAGATCAATGACATACTTTTGTTGTAAAAAGAAGACCCTTTGATGTGATTGAGCAACCTAAATCCCTATATCAATGGAATACTTTTTTTTTCTTTATCTTAAACACTCCAATCAAACATCACTTCATAGATTTTTTTCTTGCTCATCATTTCTTATTGCAATTATATTATGAGCATACACAAATAAAATCCCGACATACCTATATTTGATCGCTTAATGAATAATATGTGATCTTCTTAATTTTGTTTTTTACCTACGATAATCATGACTTTTACAGATCTCCCAAAAAGCTCTAGGTGACTATTTGAGACCACATAATGCCTTTCGTAGTCTGCAAACCTTTCTAGTTCCAAGATCTCCCCTAAAATTAGGGGATTTATCCATGTGGATTTCCTCTTCTCTATCACCATAATGGAATACATTTGAACGTCAAATGATTGCAAATATTAATGAAGTTGGTAGCAAGTGATAGTAATACTCTAGCTATATTCATCTTTGCATATGGATCCAATCTTTCTTGGTAATCTACTCTGTAGATTTTACTTTAGCCCTTGGATTCTAATTTTGTTTTTATCTTTTGGGATAGGGGTTTCATTAGCTTTGTATTTCACTTCAAACTCCCATTTGTACCCTCTTGTTTTCCTTTTTCTAGGAAACTCCATGATCTCCCATATTTTGTTCTTCTTCAAGTGCCGATCTCCACTCTCATAGATTCCCCCCATCTTTATTGAACAATCCCTCATATTTTTTGGAGATTGAAGTGGTTTATAGGTTCACAAGGAAAGCTTTGTGGGATAATAAAAAAACTTCTAAAATGACATTTAAATAAAGGATATAATGGGTGTTTAGTGCACTTCCTTATTTTCATTTGAATGACAATTGGTCTGCTATGTTTGCTATTTTCATGTTTAGATTTCTTTTGGAAAGTAGGCTCAAAAGTTGTAATTACCTTATTTTTAGGATTTGAAGAAGTTTCTTGAGCTTTCATTAGTTCTAGAATTGGAGCAATCCTTTTTGAATGCGCCTGTTTATATCTCTAAATGCATGATTTGAGATTTTGGAGTTATGAGGCTTGTGAGGTAGCGGTTGGGTTTTTACTCAAGGAGGAAGTTTAGGTATACTTTTATCAGGATGCAAATGTGTGTAGAAGGTTGATCTACTAAGAATATATCTCTATTCTTATCTTCTGTGGTAGAACTCCATTGAAAGAAGAGGTTGAGCAAACAAAGATCTCCCTGCTTCAAAATTGACATAATAAAAAAAAAAAAATGGTGGATGGTAGCACTTGTATCTTTCTTTAGATGATTAGAAACCATAAAGATACACTTGGTTGCTTTGGAGTCAAGTTACCTCTATTGTTTGTTACTATGAACGTGGATAAAGGAAGTCCAACCAAAGATCCTTGGTACATGATTGTTTATGGTGTTCCAATTTTGATAAAACTAAAGGAGTACTTCCATTGTTATGCTGAACTTGAAAACTTTGGAAAACATATTTATGATACGAGTAGCTTTAAGGATGGCCTCTCCCTAATATGATTTGGAGCATTATGTTGGAATAATGAGACTCTAGTGTGGCTAGTAAGTGATGTTTTTTTCATTTTTCAAACCTATTTTGTTGTTGTTGTTGCTGCTGCAACCCTTTTTTTTATTAATTCCTGTTGATTTAACTGGACACAATGGAGAAAAAAAGATCATTTAGCAGACCCGAAGTTGTGGGATGAAGGCTTGATGTTGTTGTTGACTTATGAATTATTCCTTCCTTTTGAGAATATCGGGATAGGACTTCCTAAAAGAGCATGCTTCGCATTGTCTGTTGTTCTTTATGGTCTAATCTCACTTCTATGTAGAGTGATGCATGACTTGAACGTTGCATGGGCTAATGATAGTTGCATTAATGGGAGGTAACGCCAACTGAATGCTTAACATAAATGGGTGAAGCTAGATTGGTAAAGACAACTCTTCAGACAAACTTGAATGGTTGATTGACACTGTTGCCAATGGTTTCTCACTCTAGAATTTAAACATTGAACTCCCAAAGTTTAGAGTTAAACCATGGTGGGCGAAATGACTAAAAAATTCCATTTTTGCATATATTTTTTTAGTAAGTTTGTTTCACTAATGTCATAACCACATTTCTGCCCTTGAATACTTGATTTCATTTTTTTCTATGTAATTTCTTGTGTTGTTTCCTAATGCACTTCAGAGTTTTGGTTCTTCTAATCTTCCTTGGCCAAATCTCAGGCTATCCTTGATCTTTATTTCTTCCCACAATTTATTAGTTTTATTTCTATATCATCTATAATCACTCTTTAGTATTATATTCTCTCTAATTATAGATTAACGTTTACAAGTTTTATCTTTTTTGCAGGACAACTAGAAATCCACACTCATTTGACAGGTATACTGGAGGATCTTCATCTGGTCCTGCAGCACTAGTTGCATCGGGGTTATGTTCAGCTGCAGTGGGAACTGATGGTGGAGGTTGCCAAAATATAAATCTTGCTACTCTTCTGTTTCGCTGAAGTACTGAGAAGTCATTAATATGCTTGTTGAAGACAGGTTCGGTTAGAATACCATCTTCACTATGTGGAATTGTAGGCTTGAAGACAACATATGGAAGGATTGACATGAAAGGGTAGTGATGCCTCACTGACATCCTTCTGTGTTCTTCGTGATTTTTTTTTCTTGTGCCATTTTATGTTGAATTACTAATTAGTGGAGACAAATGTTTTTATTGGATCCCACGGATGCTGTAGAAGGAAGTCCAAGGCCCAGTGTTTTAGAAGGAAAGAAAAAGAAACCTAGGACCTCATACTGTAGAAGGAAAGGCCCGGATGCTTAAGTAGTAAATGTAGGACATCTTGACGTAGAAAGGCTATACCAGGAAGCTTTGGATTTAAATTAGACTATATATATTCAAATTAGGAAAATTATTATATTCTTTTTGTGTATTTTGGTTCATGAATCAAAGGTTTATAGTTTTAGATGTTTTTCTTGTTTTAATGTAGAAAAGTTTCCATTTTTTTAGATTATTCTATATATAACCATGCTTCTATTATTTTGAATCAATGAGAAAATCCATTCCGATCTTCTTGTTCTTGACATGTTATTAGAGCCCTAGGTGTGTATTCTTGGGTACCCTTTATTGATATGGACTTTCCCTCATACTGCGACCTTCGTTATTTTTAGCATCTCTTTTTTTGTTTCTTAAAACCGCAAACTTCAATTATGTGATCTCTTTAGCAACCCTCCAACTATAACCTTCATAGTGTTTTGGGCTTTCAAAATCAAGATGAAAGAAACTATGAATGAAGAAGATAAGATAATGATGGATGCGATGGCTCTTTCAATGATTTAGTTGTGCTTGGAAGATGAGTCCTTAGCGGTAACAACTGCATAATGTTTGTGACTCAATATGGAGTCTTTATTCATTATAAAACTCCATCACAAGTAGAGACTCTACTTGCTTCGCATAAGAACAATATGCCTATTAAATCATATTTGAATGAGTTTAATTCCATCATTTGAGATTCAAGTAATCTTGATGTGAATGTTGATGAAGGTCAAACTTTATTGTAATTGAGTTTTTTACTTGCTTAGAAGCACTTTTAGATCACCATGCTATGTGGACGTGATTCAACAATCTTAGAGGATGTGAATAATTTACTTTTTTAAGAGGTGATTTCTAAACTCAAGGGAGATGATAAATTAGCTGAAGTTTTATTGAAGGTGAAGGGGAGATCCTATGAATATTGATCTTCTAGTTATGAATGGAGCAAGTTTTGTAGCAAGCTTAAGGATGTTACTTGCTTCTAATGTAAGAAGACATGGCACATGAAGAGGAATTTTCTTGCTTTGAAGATGAAAGAGTACTTTGCAAATGACAAACACCTCATCTATGACTTTCCAACTTCATTATTCTTGTTGTCTTGTTATTGTCTACAATTTCCCTATCCTCTACATCCAGGATCCAACCACTGATCTGATGAACTATTGTTGCACCTCAGGTTCACCCCAGACACCTAAGCGAGTAGCAACGCTCTCCCTTCCTTTGTATGTTGTTGAAGTTTAGTGCCATCTTTTTTTATGGGAAAGATTTCTTGTTTTAAGATATCTTCCTTATCCCCGCACAAAGTCCTGCCAAATGCATCATATATTTCCTCATATCTCCAATCATATCTTTCCTCATATATCCCATCTTTTTTTTTTTCATTCTTTTTTGTTCTCTTTTTTCTTAAATTCTATACAGCCACTAGTCATGTTCAGTAAGATTGAACGTCAATTAATTTCTAATAAAATAATAAGAAAATCATATCCTCACCAAATTTTACCCCACATAACATATTCCATTCTGAATCTATTACCCCCCTTAAATATACCATATATTCCATAATTCTTCCTTGATTTGTTGCCATCATTGGCCTAGTTAAGGATCCTCAAAATTTCTTAATGATTTGTATCTCACATGTTTCCATCAAAAACCTAAATCTTCCTAAACCACCATATTCTGAATACTGTTTAAAATACATTAATCTGATTGGGAAAATGAACCTTGCAACCCTCGTGTTTTATTTTGATATAATTTTTTCTTCATATTGTGGTTAATATCACATTCATTCTCATAGATATAATCATATAAATCCTTATTATGAATCCTCTTATAGGTCATCCTATAGAAGAATGACGAACTCAAAATTCTTGAAGCTACAAGTTGATGAAAACTGTGCTTTGTATGTTAAACAAATAATGAATTTTCATTCATATTGAGTTTTTAATGAAGTTATTGCTCCACTGCTCAACATTTTGATTATCGTCCTACAGGTTCATTTTTTTCTTTCACTTTGATCATTGATACAAAAATAAAAACATGGGCCCTGAAAATTTTGGCACTCCGGCCTCTATGTGTGAATTTGTGGAGAGTTTTAACGGATTAAATTTCAAGATAAATTTTTGGAAGACAAATTAGATTAGTGATAAGACACTACTGAATAATTGCAAGCTTAAGAAAGCCATCCCTCTCCTCCTCTTGGCCTTTGTTTCCTCTCTTATTGTTTCTCTCTCTCCTTATCCTTTTCTCTCTACTCCATCTTTCTCTTGCATTGTTTCTTTTGCTTTTCAAGAAACCCATATGCTAACGCTAGAAGGCAGAACAATTGAGCCACATTTCCATCATGATGATGCTGCTTTATTAAGGAATTTATGGAGAGGACTTTTTTCATCTGGATGCTTGGCATCAAAATTGAAGAACTTCATGCACGAAGTTTGTAGTGGAACATGAAACATAAAATTTAAGGGAGGTGGGAGAGGTGAATGTAAGTTGCCGAGAGGAAGGAAGCAGCAGGAGGATGCTTGGCATCAAAATTGAGGAATTTCATGCACAAAGTTTGTTGGAGATTCTAATACATAATTTGGATCTTAGAGCAAATACCTATCTCGGCTTGAAGGGAGGGCAGCTGAAATTTTTGAAAGAGAGTTTTTTATGGTGCATAATTTTCTTGTCATGAAAAAAGCCCTAGCCCTCTTACAGGCACATGAGCTTAACTGGAGTGATGTCACAAATACCTTACAGTTAACTGGACTAAACAATCCAAAAATAACAAAAACTTAAGTAACCATACAAGGAAAAGGCCTTAAATTCTACGAATAAATAACCTAAAATGACACGAATAAGCATTATCAATCGTCTACCAGTGAGTCAAATTGTGATTATGTGGCCTATGATGAAGAACAAGAGATGGTGGACAATGTGGACGATCTGCATTATTTTGGTAATCGCATTTTATCTTCGTTTTGCTTTGGAAAACAAAAGAAATTGATTTGTTTTCGTTTGCTTATTGAATAAGGTATTGATCTGACTGTACTACTGCCTGAATTGTTGAATGACTTACATATTTGGACATAAAATTACTTATGTTGTGAAGGAGGAACATTTGTTTTGTTGTTAAGGTGGAACCATTTTTTGCCTTGGTTGATATATGTTCTGTACATTTTTTTTTTGTCCATTTTTAGCTACTTTTTTGCATATCTTTCTGATGGTGTGGTCTCATAACTTCGCTAGGAAAACGTTTCTAGGTGCATTTTTCTCTAAACTACTTTTCTTTTATTATTTCAAGATTTTTGATCCTCAATTTTCATTATTTAGATCAGTGTGTCATTGTGGTACCGTCGAAGTAGCTTCTCCATTAACGGCCACAGTTGAGGATGCCATGATTGTGTAAGGATTCTTTCATATTTGGCTACTGTTTTATCTATTTTTTGCCTATTTCTTGCCTTCTATCAAATAAAACTGAAATGTACATCTCTTTAGCTGTTATGCAGGGCTGAAAGAGCTTTCTTTTCATGGTGATAAAACGAAACTAACATTCCTATTATATCTGCTATGCGTTTTGGTGTTGAACATTGATTTTCATTTGATGCCCTTAATTTAGCCGGGTTGTGCTTTTCATTTGTATATTAAGCCTTCACAAGAGTGTTTATTAGTTGACAACTTTTCCAAATTTTGCTAGGCATTGTCTTAGCTTTCAGTTTCTTTCAAGGAAAAACTAACGGAAAAGAGTTCTTCTAGTTTATCTGAACTAGATCACCTCGTGCAGTTCTTGTGATTGACATTTGGTCTCATATATTTGCGTCCACAAATTCTTCTAGGAGGTGACTTAACAGAGTTTGGGGCATGAGGATTCTGGCATGTAAATTGTTATTGCAGTAATTTCCCTTTGTTATTTTACAAACTGGATCTCCTGATAAAAAAATATCTCATGATGTCTTGATTCTCTGGAAATTCATGGTTTCTAGCTACTCTATTCTTCCTGCTTGTTTTTATGGTTAAAGAAGAAGGTTATGTATAATAGTTAGCTGGGCTTATATACTTTTGACTTAATAAAATAATTATTTTATGATTTTAGTTTTTAATCATATACACCCATTTTTCTTATTGCTATCATAGCACCCCAAACAATTACGCTTTTGAAACTGCCATGACGTCTGGCACTAGCTAATGACATCCAGATATTCTATTAACTCTTTCCAACATCATTTAATTTACCTCAAGTTGACATCGATGCGGTGTGAGAATAATGGATTAGAATTGTTAATAGGACTGTCCAACGGCAAGAACCTTAATAAAACTATGAAAGTAAATAACGGTTCAATTAAGAAATAAATTAAATGGGATTACAAGGTTTTGAAAGTCTATACTACAGCAGAGATGGCTTCCCAAGGGATTTCTAGTGCATTTATGAGGAATTCGCCCCACTAAAATGGACTTTTGACTTCCCGGGGCTGCTACTGTTCACTTTCCGAAATCTCTTAAGGCTTAGTCTGTTAACCTCTGTATAAAGAACAAAAAAAGAAAGGAGGAAGAAATCTAGCGTACAAACCTTGCACCCGCTGAATCCACGAAATCCTCCATAATACCTGCTGAAATCCCGCTGTTCAGCGCCGAATCAGTCGCTTCTCCGTATTCCCTGCCGAAATCCCGCTCTCGATCTCTGTCACACTCCCATCATTAAATACCGGACCTCCACAGCCTCTCGCTCTCCCCGGATACCTCTGCTCTTTCCACGCTCGACTCTTCTCCCGTTCACTCGCCTCCCACAACCGAATCCCTCCAAGCTCCCGAACTCCTCCCTTGCTCCGACCGAACTCCTCTAGATCCCGTTCCCCTGCTCTGTTCGGTCCACACGCAGAGAGAGAGAGAGAGAGAGAGAGAGAGAGAGAGAGAGAGAGAGGTACCAAGCTCTTCCTCCTGTCAAACCCGAACTCCACCTCTGCCCTAACCCGACGCTAGCTCCGACTCTCTTGCCTCCTCTTTTGACGCTCTCCCTTCCTGTCGGTCTGGAAGTTGCGGCATTTTGATCGAAGCAACCATGGGAGCTCCCTTGCCGTGAAGGTAATTTTCCCCCATTCGCACTCTTCTTCTGCCAGATCCCGTAAAGATGCCGAATTAGAGAGATGAACAAGGGGTTTTAACTCTCTCTCAGATTTAAACAGGATTTGGAATAAATCCTGCTTAAATTCTATCTTAATTTTGCCTTAATCCAGTTTAAATCATGTGCAAATTTTATTCATTAAATATTAATTATAATTATTTACAATTATTTGTTATTAATTATAAATAATTATAAATTAGTTATCAGTAAATTATAATTAATTATTATTAAATATAATTAATCGTAATTAATTATGATTAATTGAGTGTTAATCATAATTTATTATAATTAGTTATTTTAATATTAATTAATTAGCATTAATGATAATTAAGTGTTATTATTTATGATTAATTTCAATTAATTTTTCATTAATTATAATTAATAAAACATGAATGAAGTAAAAAAATGCTTTCCCCCCACTCTCCTTCCTCGATGTCCGTGTCGGACCGGCAAACCACCTAAGCACGCCTTTAGTGGTCGTGGTAGGAGGGACAAAAATATTTAAAATCTGAAATCTATCCATCAAAAACTTGAAGCAAAAATCCATCCACCCTCCGCAACAGTTTGCCGAGGTGGACAAATTCAAATTTACTTCAGCTCACAAAAGAGCTAAAATGCCTAGTCGAAAATATCACTAGGATCCATTCTCAAACAATCTCCTGCCAGTAAGGACGTGGTACGTGTCCTCTAACCGGCGGTCTGCCGCTAAATGGCCACCGCAGGATAAACGGTTACGACGACCCGGGGCCCTCTGAACCGCGTGGTTTCGCCGCCAAATGGCACCACGATATCTCGGTTATGGCCAGAGCCAATACGCTCCTTAATGGCGTTAAATCCTTGAGATATGAATCAATAGGATATGATCGATAGGGCACAAAGCCCTCTGTAAGCTAAGGTGGATTTAAATTTGTCCCCTTAGACAAACATCAACCCCGGTCTACAAGGTCCCCTTGGACGAAGCAACCCATGGCTGCCGACAAGGATCCTTCTGTCAGGTTGGGTCGACTACCTCCTCTGACTAAGTAGACCAGGGACCACGATGGCCCGGGATGACGGAACCATGGGATCTTGATCGGGTCTATCATCCATTCCCCCATCATTTCGCTTTAAGTGCAAGATGGTGAAGTTTCTATTTTAAATATCAAATCTTCCAATCTTCCAAATTTTTAAATTTTCCAACATTCAATACCCAAATTCAGACACAATTTCCAAATCTAAATCAATGCTGCTACTATAGCCAGATAACACGTATGTTCTACGTATTTGATCGACGACTAGTTTTAATCGAAAGTTCTCTCTCGTGATCGGGAGGGGTAATTAACTATAGGGGCTTGCGCCTATAGGAAACCAGAACTCAGATCATAAAGTCCTCTCCAAATGAGGGCGAAATCTCTGAGTAGTGTCTTATCTACAAACCCATCTGCCTTCCAAAATTTACCTCGGAACTTAATCCGTTAAAACTCCCTCGCCGAATAAAAAAGAAAAAAGCGAGCGGAGGCCGGGGCCGAATTTTCGGAGCCCACATAGTCCCATCCAAACTTGCAGGAATCTTGATGCTTCTTTGAGATGGCTGTTGTCTTCCAGGTTCCCTTTTTGCAGAATTAAAGAGCTGCTGGAAAAAGTCCAACAGCCCTGATGCTGATCTACAAGACAACAAGTTAACAAACACACGTGCAACAGAGAACACTGCTATAGGAGGACTTCTTGATTAAAGAATATCAAGGAATTCATTGGTTAATTGATGCTTCTAAGGTTCTTCCCCTTGACTTCTGGCTGCTGCTTAGGTTCACTACAAAACTACACTACTGGCACCTTGTATATTCAAGAGTAGGTTGTTGCATCTTCTATTTCCAATATTCTCCAGTAGTCTCTTGCGCTTGCTTGCCACCTCAATCTTAGATGGGAAACCCAACAAGAAACCCAATGCTAAAGACTGCATACACTTCTATCAGCAAGGGAATCCAACTACCTGATGCACAACCCACCACCGATGGCCTTGCGCTCTGCGCCAACTCGCCAAGTTTCCTTCCCGCAACCTTCCCACTGCTGCTAGGCATTCTTCAGCTGCAAGAAATTTGCTGCACACCTGAACAGCTGCCCGGGGCCCATATTACACTGGATATCTTTCTTCTCCACTTGAAAACAGGGAATACTTCCTCTCACTCCAGAAAACCTGAATTCTAATTCACCAAAAGACTCAATTATGCTTAAGTGAAGGGTATTTAATTAGGCTAGCCCCCATTAAAAATTATAAAACTCCTATTGACAAATCTATCCCTCCAAAAAGAATGAAAGGAAAAACAAGTCCAAAAATAAAGATAATTGTGGGCTCCGAAAATTCGTACACCGGCCTTTCCGTGCCTCTTTTGTTTACGAGAATTGTTTAATGGATTTAGGTTTCGGGGTAAATTTTCGGAAGGCAGATTGAGTTTTTAAATAAGATACTACCCAGAGATTTTGCCATCATTTTGCTAGGACTTTATGATCTTAGTTTTGGTTTCTCATAGGCGGAAGCTCCTATGGTTAATTACCCATCTCGATAACGAGAGAGAGCATTTGATTAAGGCTAGTAGTTGAATAGGTCGCAACTACCTGGCCTATAATAACAATGATTTTAGGGCTTGAATTTGTTTTTTGGATTTTGAAGTTTATAATTTGAAATTTATCACCATATACTTAAAGCGGGTGATGGGGGAATGATGACGAACCCGATCAAGATCTCATGGTTTTGTCATTTAGGATTGTTATGGTCCCTAGTGATATTGGCTTGAGAATGGATTATTTAGAGCTTTAATGCTAACCCATTGGGCCCATTGGCCCGAACATTGCTTCCCGGTCCCCAAAACTAGAAAATGTTAGTGATTTGGATGTGGCATAAGTTGATTGCTTTAGTTTCAAATATTGAAATTAAATGTTAGATAATTATTTTACTCAAGGTTATGAAAATCGGACCAGTCATAGAACCAGAAGGAGAGGTTCTGTGTTTAATGGTTCGACCGGAGTTGAATTAGAGATTGAACCGAATGATGTACAATAACATCAAGTCTTTATCCCACTACGTGGGGTCCAAAAATAATGGCCTTATTTAAGCAGGCCATGCTCAAATAAGACCATGAATGAATAATGTAATAAATATTAAAATAATTTAAATAAATGATATAATAATATAAATTTGTGACAAAAAAGTAGAATTTATTCATAAATAATATCATCTATAAGTTTAAATTTAAACATCTTCAATCTTTAAATTTAGTTCACATTTAATTCAATTTTAATTTAAATATCTTATTAATTTACTATAAATTATATTTAATTTATGTTATATATTTATATATAATTTGCACTTGTAGATTATATAATAAAATTCACATTATAAATTTGCATCTATAAATTATTCATGTTAAATCATTTACCATTAATAAATAGATAAAAAAATTAAAATTTTATAGTATAAATAGATGAAAATTAAATATTATTCACTAAAAATAAATATTATTCATATTATAAAATATTAATTAAAAAATCTATTTAAAAAAAAAAGTAATGAACCAGTCGAACAGGCCGATTTGGTCAGTTTTCAAAACTGTGGTTTTACTCTTTTTTTTTTGTATTTATGTTTGATGCTGCATTCTCAAGGTCACATTGTTGCTACTCTTTCGTTCTATTCCTTTCATCTTGCATTTGTCTCTTTTTCTCTTTATCTCCTTTGGTTAAGTCATTTTGTTTCGTGTGATAAGCTTTTTACATTTTGAATGGCCTATATGCGACTCGTAATTGTGGAACCATCATACTCTGTAAAAATTTTTATGGAATTGAGCTTGCTAATGCCAATTATGAATTTCGTTTATGCTGTTTTATTTTATAATTTTTTTTAATAAGTTAATGTTCCAGCAATTATTATTGATCTCCTTCTCTGACCAAGATAACTGACATTTTAGGTATGCGGCACTGGCTGGCTCATCTCTAAATGATAGAATCAGTTTAAGACCGGTTATTTCTCTGGCCTTTCTTGGATGAATAGACTATATTTTCTTCCGCAGAAGTTATTCCATTTTTTTTTTTTTTCAGATCCATTTTTGGCTAGTATCTCAATTGATGTTTAGAAGCGTATTGCATGAGCTAAAACTTTTGAATCTAGCTACAATTTGGTGTTTCAATTCTCCATTTGATCACTGATTCTATTTCTAACGCTTAAAAATGCACTATTAGCTTACAATCAGTACTGTTGTCAGAAAGAAATGACGAATTACTTCTAAAATTGTCCAAATTGGTAGAGCTTGCAGTTTTACCTGATGCATTATATCTGAAGACAGCTATCACGCTCCTTATATTTCAGAAACAAATAAAGGCAATTACTGTTATGGCAGACTTTCCTATCTGAACTTTGCAGAAGGGCTTACCTGTAAACTATAGATGCTTTAGTGGCATAGGAATAAGAGAATGGCAGTTATTAAAATAATTAATATTCCAAATGACTGCTGTCACGACCCGTCCCGGATGCTCGATCTAACGAGACGGGTATGAAAAGTCGGACGGTAGTACATTTCCAAAAGTGTAAATTTACTCATCATCAAAACTTTTCTATAAACTGAAGAGCCACTAAAAAAAAATTTTATTTTACCTGTTGTCATTTGCACCTCTTCTTACTCTTGAAGATAATCACTTGCTAAAATTGGAGAAAGAAGAAAAACCTACCTTGTTCTACGCACGAAGCCGTCGTCGCGCCCCTCTCTGTTTCGCGCGAACAGTTCTGTTCCGTGATCCTTCTATTCGCGGGATTATAAAGGGTGGGCCGGCCGGTTCAGTTGAACCGGCCGGAAGAACCGGTTGTCACACCTGCAATTTTTCTTCATTTTATAGCTTCTTTAAATTGGTGTACTGTGCAAATTGACTAGTTTTTTTATTGCTGTAGTTTTTTTATTGCCTATTTTAACTAATTCATCCAGTTTATTCTTAATGCAGTCACCAATTTGTTTGCCAGATTTATCAACACCAAATAGTTTACATATCTTAAGTTCTGTGAAGCTAGGGAAATATTCAGAGGTTTGGATTTTTTCTCGTCTTTGTTTGTTCATCTAATTGGAACTTTAAACTATTGTCTTGAATGACATACATTATGCTCATCTTTTTATGGTCATCTGTTTGGAACTTCCAATCATTAATTTAGTGCAATAACATTCTGACAATTTTTCATTTTATAGTGGTTTAATGATGTCTATAGCACTGACATATCAGCTAAGTGCAACGATGCTCTAAATCAGCTTTCAGAAATATTTGGTTGCAGTGTAAGTTTATAAACCAAGACAATATGTTTAATTTTTATTCTCTGTAATTGGCTTTCAGAATCAGTTTGATATGTTGTAAGTTTGTTGGCAAACCAGATAGTAATCTTGACCTTTTAATCCATTTAAGATCAGACAGTTTGTAGTTATTGTGCATTTTGGGGGCCATGCATGCCCATTATAATTCTGCGGATATGTTCTGCCTAGTGCTTAGTTCCACGTTTTGGTGTTTCCAGATTATGGAGATTGTACTCCCAGAGCAACATGTAATGCAAGCAGCTCATGTTGTTTCAATTGGTTCTGAATCATTGTGTGCTCTGAACCCTGATTGTGAGGATGGGTATGTATTATTATTTGTTGGAGTAAAATTTTATTAAAATCCAAGTTTTCGTTTTGATATTTTATGATAGGTTTTGCAACTAACTCATTACTATGATTTTATCCCAAAACTTTTATAATATCGATGGCCATACCTTTGTTTTTTTTTTTTTTGGGACATACATGCTGTAGGAGGAATACGGAACTATCACTTGATACACGAGTTAGCCTCGCTCTTTTCAGATCATTCTCTGCAGCAGATTATGTTGCTGCCCAGCGTTTAAGGTGGGTCAATAATGCTTCTTTCTGTATATCCTGAATTGTTGGCTTGTTTATGACGACTAAGATAATGCTATTGATTTGCTGATTATTCTAATGATTGTTTATGTTTTGTATGGGATTTTAGCTTAGGTCAGGCATTCCACTATCATAGTTTATTGTAGTCAACATTTGCATTTTTTTCTTATTCCCATTATTATAACAGTAACGGGTTGTGAGCACAGCAACGACAATTAATTAGAATTGTCAGAATACAAAAGAAAATATAGAAGAACAAATTCATAAAGCATGACAAAAGATAAAGAAACATTCAATATAGTACACAGGAAATCAACAATGGAAAACTGGAGCTCAATTGAATCTCATTGCTTGGGGCCCGATGCAAGTTTCTACGGAAAGAGTAATATGAGGGGATGCATTCAAAGACAATGAAATAATGAGCAACAGTAGCATCCAATTGAAAAGGTTTATCAAAGATTGAACCTAAGGAGTACAAAGGGAGTGGGTCGAAATATTGTAATTGAAGGTGAGGAAAGGCTATCTTAAATGTTGTTGTTGGAATCTCAAAACTTAATTATACCTCACGTCCATGAATGAGGGATGCTCCCAAAGTCAAACAAAAATGCATATACTGCCTCATAGATTCCACTCCCTTGCAACTTGTTCTTTTGTGCTTGTAAAACGTATCTCGCCCAAGCCACACATATTTACAAGTGAACTGTGAATGGTTCCAATGACAAGTCTTGTGGACAATCTAGTATGTTTGGCTTGGCTATCTGACTGGATGATTTTGTCACAAAATGTCACCATTAAATTATGATAATGTTCAGAGTCTATATATTTCCCGTGGTAAAAAGATGTCTTGAGTAATGAATCATGAAGTGCACTTATTATTTAAGGTCTATTTAAATTTATCTCCTTAGATAAACATCAACACTAGGTGTATAAGATCTCATTGTATGAAACAATCTATGGCTGATTACAATAATCCTTCTTTCGGATTGAGTTGATTACCTCCACCGACTTAGGAAACATAACAACTCGGGCTAACAAAACTATAAGCTCTTGATTGGGTTTGTCATTATTCTCTCCACCATTCACTTTAAGTTTAAAGGAATAATTTTTTAACTTCACTATTTGCAGTTACTATATGCTAAGTATTGACCTTCGAACAACTGATCTTAATTGAAAGTTTTCTCTCATCACTATGAAAGGTAATTAACTATAGAGACTTGCACCTATAAAAAATCATAAAATTCTCGTAAAATGAGGGAGAAATCATTTGATAGTGTTTTATCTTCAATATAATCCATCTTTTGAAAAATTGACCCAAAAACATCCAAACTTAGTAGAGCTAGGGCGCGAATGTTTGGATCCCACTAAAACCCTCTATGCTAAAGGCCTCTAACCAAGAGTGGGATGAGATTTTACCATGTGTTTTGGCTGATGATATTTAAAACAAGTATTTGGGCCAAACAAACAGTCTCTCTTATGGGGTCTCCCACACTTATCATAGTTTCTAACATTAGTTAACTTCCAATATTGTTAAGTTTTGATTTCTTCTAATTGGAACTCTCAAATTGGTTGACATGTTTTTTTTTTTTCTATTTTTCAATAATCTTTATGCCTTGGAGTGGCTTGAAGATCTGTTGACCCGTCTGCTGTGACAGACAAAACAAAAACAAAAAAAAATTCAAATCTTACCTACTCCGCCGAAGCCACGATCTCGGCACGACTCGCACAACTCGCACAACGCACGTCGTCGCCCACGTCGCACGATCCCGCCTCAGGACAATCCCATTTGCGTCGTTAAAATGAGCATTCGAGAGCCTCGTTTGCTGCTGGTTCCTCCTCTCCCGAACGCTCTCTTACGCTTCTCATTATAGATTATCATTAATCAATAATTAGCTATAATTAATATTAATTGTAATTAATAATAAAAATGAAATGTTCGTGCCTTCACCAGCCTCGGTCCACAAGCCTCCACCGCCGGTCCCGAAGGTATAATTTCTAGAACCTTTCTCTCTCCCCTACCTCGGCATGCATGTCGAGCCAGTAGACCACATATTCACGCTTTTCTCTAGCGTTGTGGGAAGGGAAACCGGCGCGACACCTACGACGAGATAGGCGAGCGACCCTTGGTTCCAAATCTTGTTCTCGGCGTTCGTGGCGCACCAGAAGATCGCCTATACACGCTTTTCTCTAGCGTGGTGGGATGGAAACCCGGTGCGGTGCCTATGACGAGATCAGGATATTCATAAGTACCCACTCGCAGGGAAATAATTGCTTTTCTTGCAACAGGTACCGAAGATCCATACACACCTTTCTTTGGCATGGTGGGGACAAAGACTTTACACAGCCGTGGTGTCCTCGTAAGAGGGCACCTATCGTACACGCTTTTCTGTAGCGTGGCGGGAGGCCCAGTTTTTCCATAGTTTTCCCCTAAACAGGGGAGATGCCGGGAGGTTGCCGAAATTTCGGGTGAAATATTACTATACTTGGACCTGATTTGAACTCAAAAAGAACAAATATTTGGGTTCGAATGAACAATGACTTGTGGACGAGAACTTGAACTCAAATGATTGATAAAGATCAAATTCAAATAAGATGAAATCAAACTGGAATTGAATTCATATCAAGCAAAATTGTACCTGCAAAGACTCTAGAAAACTTTGAACATACACTCGGGCTCAAATTCAAATATAGTAAGTGTGGAAGGCACTAAAATTGAACAAGATTTGGACTGCAGAGGACTTATACTTGGACTTGCATCCTGGACTCAAATTGAACATTAATGACTTGAGCAATTCTAACTCAAACGAGTACTTGAGTTGGACTACAGAGGACATAGAACTGAGCTTGCACATTAAGCTTATGAACCTGATTTAAATTGGTCCTGAAAGGACTTGAAATTGAGCCTGGTTTGAGCATCATTGCCCTCTCACGTTCGACACCAATCAAACTACAACACCTTTCACGGATGTGTTCAATGAAGCTTACGACGAATGCAAATGCCCGCTAGTGTCAACAATCATTCGGTCGAAAACAAATACGCGTCCATTGCAACTAGAAGGTAGTTGATTAGCAAACTAAGTGCAAATGTCTAAGAAGGTGAAATGACCACAATAAGGTGCAAATCTCCTTACAAACAAATGCCTGTTGATTGAAATAGCAATACGGGAGACCAATAGTGGAGATTCTGCCCTCTACAAGCAAGTTCAAATAAATCAAAGCGACCACCTGAGATTGGTGAAAGATGGATATAATGCATAAACAATGGCTCTCCTACGAACACTACTAGGAGGTCGTAGTGGATACAATGATTTCCCGCAAATATACACATGTCGCTTGTGGATAACAACAGTGGGTATATCGTAGGTACAACAAACCGCTGTGGGCACAAGTATTGATATCACCTAAGACATTGGTGATCAAGATCTTCAAGTATTTCGGGTACAAGGGCGACTCGATGTACAAAAATGTACTCCCTGGCATAATCGAAAAGGAAGTTTGAATAAATTAGAACCAAACTTCCTAGTGTTCCAAAGTTTCTTTCTGACCCTGTACTTAAGAAGAAAATAATGCTTGCATCTACAAATATCAGAGACAATAAGTCTACTACACTAAAGATCTTGAAAGGAGATCTTTTCAAGGCAAAGCAGCGGACTTCAATGTCCAGAAGAAGCCCTTCCCGGTGAATGAGAAAAGGGGAGTCAACATCTAGATGAGGAGATTCCTCATAACATCAAGACCACAACGCCACCGGATCTGCAACACTTATATAAGCAGACAGAAGGTGTCTACAATCTACAATGCATCGTCACCGGATTTGCAACACATATACAAGCAGACAGAAGGCGTTTACAATCTACAACTCAACGCTACCGGATTTGCAACATTCGTACAAGCAGACAGAAGGCGTCCACATACTATAACGTCACGCCACCGAATCTGTAACACTCGTACTAGCGGATAGAAGGCGTCTATAAATACTTTCAAAATACCCCTGCACGTGCACCATAAATTGTATACACATAGGTATACTAAAGGGGTATATAAAAATCACTTATATGGGCTCCGGCGAGCGTGTTATTGGTAGACACGAGATGCCTAGGGATATTGCGCGGGTCAATAAGTGAATTCTAGTTCAAACCTGATCCTTTTATACGGATCAATAGAAGTCGACAGGGTTCGAACCTTCAAACAAATACATGGTTGTGGGGACCGATGTATTTGTTTCAATACATTCACATTAGGCCTTCAAGGCCTACAATCAAAAGAATTCACTAACCAAAAGGCACGAGGCCTACGAAACACGATCCTCCTAAGCATGTAAATAGGAGTAGACAAGGTTCAAACCATCGAATAAATATGCGGTCACGAAGTCGACAAGAATATTTATCTTATACATTCATATTAGGCCTTCAAGGCCTTCAACAAAGAAAATTCACAAATAAGGGCACAAAGCCTACAAGAAACCCGATCCTCGGTCAATAGTTCGGCCGAGTCGACAGGGTTCAATCAACAAAAGGGAAATGACCCCATGCATACCCCGATGATGGCCGCGTTGATTGAAGATCTCAACCGGAGGGGTTCATAAATAATTTCAAAATGTCACTCAAATACCTACTAAATTCAATGTCCCAAAAATCCCAAAATCCCAAAAATATTTAAAATTGAAATCCAACCATCAATAACTTAAAGCAAAATTTATCCACCCTCCGCAACAATTTGCCGGGGTGGACAAATCAAAAACTACTTCAGCTCACAAAAGAGCTAAATGCCCAGTCGAAAATATCACTAGGATCCATTCTCAAACAATCTTCTGCCAGTAAGGACGTGGTACGTGTCCTCTAACCAGCGGTTTTGCCGTCAAATGGCACCGCAGGATAAACGGTTATGACTCGGGGCCCTCTGAACCGAGTGATTTTATCGCCAAATGGCACCACGAAATACCGGTTATGCCAATACGCTCATTATTGGCATCAAACCCTTGAGATATATATCAATAGGATATGATTGATAGGGCATAAAGCCCTCTGTTAGCTAAGGTGGATTTAAATTTGTCCCCTTAGAAGGTCCCCTTGGACGAAGCAACCCATGGCTGTCGACAAGGATCCTTCTGTCAGGTTGGGTCGACTACCTTCTTTGACTAAGTAGACCAGGGACCATGATGGCCCGGGACGACGGAACCATGGGATCTTGATCGGGTCTATCATCTATTCCCCCCACCATCCGCTTCAAGTGAAAGATAGTGAAACTTCTATTTTAAATATCAAATTCCCAAACTTTCCAAATCAAATGCCTATTGCTGCTACTATATGCCAGATAACACGTATATCTACGTATCTAATTGATGACTAGCCTTAATCGAAAGTTCTCTCTTGTGATCTGGAGGGATAATTAAATATAGGGGCTTGCGCCTATAGGAAACCAGAACTCAGACATAAAGTCCTCACAAAATGAGGGCGAAATCTCTGGGTAGTTTCTTATCACAAACACATCTGCCTTCCAAAATTTACCTCGGAACTTATCCGTTAAAACTCCCTCACCGAAAAGAAAAAGCAAAACAATCAGTGTGCGACGGGGAGGCCGGGGCCGAATTTTCGGAGCCCACAAGATCCATCTCCACTTTTCAAGCTTTTTCACCAACACATAATATAGATTCTTAAGAAAATTAGGAGCTGTCTTTTTACGTCCCTTAATCTATATAAGTATTGATGATACTTTTCGTTTTTCATTGATAATTAATATGGTGCATAACTTGAAAGCATTATAAACTATACTTTCTACTGCATGATGAAACAATCTTGTTGCACTAACTTGATATATTTGTCTTGCATTTATCTAATGTAGAAAAAGACATAAATTACTCCCAAAACGTCTTTACAAATTTATCCCATTTGATTGAATAGTTCTGTCAACAACCAAATTTATCTTGTAGTTAACCTCTCCACCATCTTTTTGCTCATCATCCAGTGCAAATGTGGCAAGTGGACCCTTCTTTCATGGGGCAGAGCATATGATCAGTTACCTTCTCAATACTCATTAGTTTTGAGCTTCAATAGGTCCTTTAGCTCTAGTAAAAAGAGGTGATCTTATATCTTGAAATAATTTCAAATATTTATTCAATGTAGTACTTTCTCTTCTAGTAGTTTTTTATTCATAATTTTGTTTAAGTTGTGTTACCATCGCTATGATTTGAATAAAAGCACTAGTAGTAATACTAGTCTCTTTTTATTGAGCATGATTGTTTGCTCCTAGAACCTTTAGAGCCTGCAACCTATCTACCCCTGCATTGGTTGTATTTTCATCAATACTCTCCTTATCAAAATCCTTGTATGTTGTACACAAACTCTCTATTACCCATCTAGTTTAGGGGATTATCCTGAAAAATGTTTATCAACTATTGGGTAGAGGGTAGGGGCATAAGTGAGCCGTGCCGAACTTGATCTTGAGATCAACTCATTAACGAGCTCACGAGCCGAGCTTATCAGTTTCGAGCTCAAGCTTGAGTAGAATTTCGAGCTCGAGTTAGATCTTGGGTAATGCTCGGCTCGAGTACTTGTCGGGCGGCTCTTTTGCTTGTGCAAAGGCGTAAGTACGGGACAATGCGTACTGCGAAAGTGCGGGCGAAGGCAAAAGCGCAGGCGGGAGAAACCTGACCACAAATGCGCTGTGCGCAGGCAAAGACGGACTGTGGAAGGCTCCGGAGCTTCTCACAAGCTCGTTTTCAGTGGCATGAGCCGAGCTCAAGCTCGCCTTTTGAGCTCGACTTGAGTTTGAGCTCAGGATTTTGCTCGCGAGTCGAGCTCGGGTTAGGCTTGACTTGAGCTCGACTCGACTCATTTGCACCCCTAATAGAGGGAGCTTATATAAACAACTCGGTGGGATACTTACAATTTTAAGCTAAGTATATCAACAAAAGAGAATAATATGTGTGCTAATCATTATAAATAACACTTGCCTTTTAAGATTATTACACTTTTAATCATAAACTTATGAATTTTCAGATATGGAAAAGAAAACACGTCATTCAATTGTCCATCAATAACATGAGTTCTAGAAAGCAACGTATCAAATTATAACTTAGCTTATAATACACTCATCATAAGAGCACAGCCTAAAATATACAACTTGAGGCACATTCATATCAATACCCTTATTCAAATATATCCCTACACTGAATTGAGAGAGATAATAACCTTAACGTGAGGGTTGAAGCATCTTGGGTTAATACCATAAGGGTTGAACCCCATCATTCAATATGCAGTGCAAACATTCATTTATAGCATATTCTTTGCATTCAATGTCATACATTTATTTTTAATGATAACTTTTGCAAGCATTATGTGGGATGCTCATTGGTATTTGGAATAACATTAATTTTAAATAACATTCATTAACAATATGCAGATCATGTGTACGGGAAAAGGTAAAATCATTTTAGACAATTTTAATCTTGATTTAATGACATCATCAAATACATAAAAAGATGCCATAGCATTAAATTGGGAACTAGACTGCCGCTGCTATCCGGTCATGATAAAGATGGATATATTTGCTCTTATGTAATTTCAGCATTCTGTTTAGTGTCATTCTTTCATTGATACAATTTTTGTTGATTACGCAGGAGAAGGATAATGTACTACTACATGGAAGCTTTTAAGAAGGTCGACATCATTGTAACCCCAACTACAGGGTATACTTTACCTTTTTTAGCTTGCAATTTGTTTACTCTGAAGCATTTCAACATTCATGAGTTAATATCCATGGCAAGGTTCGCTGTTCTTCATTTATGCATTTATATGTGCATGTAAAGAGCATTGGATGTTAATGGTTCTGATTTCTTGGTTAATGATAAATGGACCAGCCAAAAATTTGCGAATATGTGCTCATGAACAGTGCATATACAATAGTTGTGTATCATGCAAAGGGACTTACTTCCGCAGTCTTCCAATTCCTCCAAACGCAAGAAAATCATTGAAGTAATTATTGCCTAATGGGGTACGCTTAGGGCATCTTGTCTGAACCAAATTTCTAGCACCTTTCATTTGTTTTTCTTACCAAACAAAAAATCTTCCAATATTTTATCCTTTAAAGAGCCTAATACAGATTTTTTCCTAGAAGATATAATGCTATCATACGCTATGATACTACTTTTTTTAAAGAAAAATTCTGTACCGAGCAATGAAAAGAGGACAGCATTCAATTGCAAAGAATTGCTAGATGAATGAGAAAGAACAAAAAACATTATATGGTAGCAACAAATTGAGAGATAAACTGCTGAAAGAGTAGAACCTCAGGAGACTCATTTAAAATGTTTTTCTTGAAGTAAGAAGAGCCTTAGAGAGAAAATATATATTTTCTTTCTATTCCTTCTCCTGGCAACGAGGATCTGAAACCTATTGTCTACTTCTTTTATATTGGAAATGTTAACATCATTTTTATTACATTGCAAAACTAAATCATCAATATCACAAACAACAGGATGATCCGAAGGAACAAATACAACAGGGTACAGCATCAATTTTTTTCTGAAACTCTAGCAACACGTGGCTTGGATAGTCTAGCTATAACAGCATCTACTAGGGTTATCAAAATTAAATCCATGAGAGTATAATGTTGATTCATGAAAAAAATAAACATATAACCAAGCATATAGGGGTTATATGTGGCTCTTCAAATGGGTCAAAGTGAAGAGACCACTTCAACATGGGCATTGAAAGCCCATTCATATAGCAGGTTCTACGCAAAAAAAGTTTGGAATAACCAACTTCCAAGGATAACTTGAGGAGCACATCGTGATGGTTAATAAGACCATTATATTTGGTTGGTTGTTCAAGAGTAAATTTTCCGGCTGATGAGAAAGAAATGTGATACGCTTTGGAGATAAAAACAGCAAACAAATAATGGAAAACTATAGAAATACTAATATCAATGGCTGATTTTGGATTATAAGTTTAATACAAAAAATAAAATACATGTGATCTACAATTTGATAGGCATATCGACTCTCCTAAACAATCTAGACGCTGCTAGGAAGTCCTAACGAAAAGAAAACTACAACAAAGCTCAAGTAAAATTTTCCATACAAAATATAACATAAACTCTACTACTTATAACAAACAATAAACAATAAATTTCAAAATAGCCCTCTTTAATTCCCTCCCAGATCAGCCCTCAAATTTGCCCTCTTCAATTAGGAAACATCTCCTAATTAATCCCCTCCAAATCAGCCCACTTCAATTATAAAATATTTCATAATTAATCTTCTTCAAATCAGCCTTATTTCCTTATAAATTTTTCTCTTCTATTTAAATTCAAATAGAAGATCTTTCACTAATTAATTTCCTCCTTAATTATCCTCATAACATAATAAATTATTTCTTTGCTGGGACACACAAGAAGGGCCAAAATCTCCCTGGATTTGGTTCCAGGTTCCCCTACCGCCTCCCCCCTCCCCGCCTACTGGCCAAGTCGGTCTAGCCTCACTTTACCTACAGCCATAACAATGCTCCTCCCCAAAGATGCACCTTGTCAACGTGGAAGGATGGGACGTTGTTCATGACTTTCTTCAGTTGCTTAATTAGTGGCCATGCTATTGTCTACTTGAACCAAACTAGAGCTTTCCCCTCCAGACATAGCCCTGCAGTCGTAAACTTCTCCTCATTCAATCCATTCATCATGAAATACATCTCCAACCAATATACCTACCCGTAGGCATCCTCCCCTTCAAATATTGGCATCCACAACTTCCTCACCCTAGGAAAAATATTTGGCCAAAATGCTTGTCATTCAGTTTGTGACTACATTTACAAATCTCTCATTGATTATTAAAAAAAAAATAGAAAAGGGTGACCAATATATCTACCATAATGGCATCTTCTTCATCTGACAGCATCACTGCGCCTGAAATATCCTCAACCGCTCTTAAAAATGGGGAGTCCAACATTGAGGTCACAGGTAAGTACATCAATTATTTAAATCTCTCTATTTTATCTACTTTGTCAGTAGTCTCAGTGAATATATCCTATTAGTTTCACCTATCTCATGTTTGAACAGTATGATTATTATTATTATTTCTTTTTATTCTCAGTTTACAAATTGATGAATCGAGTCATGCTAATAATGCCATGAATTGTTTTATATGAGCTTTGTTATTATGCTACAAACCTGAATCTATACACATATTTAGCATGTTAAATTCAATTGATGGTGAAATGCTGAGCTGGCCAATATTAAGATTCAGTAGCTTTACATTTTATTTGGAATGACCAATGGGATGCTCGAACTAAGGACTTTCCTCTGCTCCCCAACCAATTGCTTTCCTGCTGTAAACTTGAATTCTTCCCAGCTTATGGAGCTCTTGGTAATGCTGAATCTGGGGGGGGGGGATGTTCATTTGCTGCTGGGTCACCTCATTTTAGTTGAGAAACAAGGCCATTTGGGCCTTGATTAGAGAGTTTAGGTGTTTATGAACTCTCCTGTGACTCATCAAATCATAGATGGGGTTATCATCCAATTTCGAGATTGTCTGAGCATTGGTCTAATTGAACCAAGTAAAATCTGGCATAGTTTCACTTCTGAATTGTCTTGGGATGTGTAATTTGCATTAAAGTTTGTGCTTAGTTAAATAGAGTTTTTTCTTACAATCGTAACAAGGTTCAATTCCCTTAAATTACTACTGATTAAAGGAGACCATTTATCCCAGTGAAATGTTAAGGTGACCAATTGATTGAAATAATCATGATTGAGTGAAGCTTGGGCAAAATTAAATTGTTTGATTCAACAAATTTGATCTAGTTTACATGAAATTAACTCTGTTGCTCTAAACCGAACTAGTTCGGTCCCAATCCAATTCAAATCACCCAACTTGAGCTGAAAAATCTTTTATGATGCTTGTCTGTACCGAATAATAAGCTTCTTTTAATCTGGCTTGTATTGAAGTTAAAAAATATATAAAATTGCTTTGAAAAATGTGCTAAGCTACTCGCGCCTGATGAAACTTTTACTATTGCATTGGACGTGATAAAGAGGATGTTCTAACATCTTTGCTATGGCAAAAGAATGCTATGATATCATACTTAATCTTGCCAGGCATTTGAAATTCATTCTAGGCACATAAAGGAATTAAAAAGTTACTAATAAAATGCTGCATTAAATTTGAGCTAAAATACACGACATCTAAAAATTTGCTTGAAGTTATCTTAGGTCTCTCAATGCAAAAGATTAAAAGGGCTTACCCAGATATGGAGTTCCGACTAATATAAAGTCAAGGGAGGGGTTTTTGTTTTAGGTCGAATCATCTCATTTCGTGTAAGGGGTTGTTTCATTGGCTATAAAAGGAATGCAGTGTAAAATGAATACAATATAAAATGAATTATTTGGAGTTGTTTGGATGAGTGTAAACTAAATCCAAATGAATGAATTTTTTTTGTTTGGTTTTGAGTAAAATGAATGTAGTGTAATATTTAAAGATGGTAGCGACTGACGACGGTGGCTGTGGCGGGTCTAGGGCTAAACCGAGCAAGAGGAAACTCACTTCTTGAGTGCATTTAGTATGTTCAGGTGGAGTCGAATGGCCTGGGAAGGAGATCTGTGTGCCAAGTGCTGAGCTGCTTGAGATGTCCTTTTCTGCTAGTGTCCTTCCAAATAGAGGGTGAGTAAGCTTCTGTTTTCTATCTATCAAGTAGAGAGACGCGAACTAGGTGGTGTTGTGAAGGCTTTTGGAAGGTGACGATCTGCTATAGGAACACTTTCTTCGTCTTACACTGACAACAAAACAACAACCATGAGCGGTCTAAATAGCGGAGGCGAGATCGAAAAGCACTTTGACGATAAGTTTGGGCTTTCTCCTCCCTCCATCTCGCTTTTGCAAGGCTAGAGCATATCGGCTTGCACTGTGGCTTGCTTCGGTGAAGTAAATCTCAAAAAAACTTGGGAAACACCTAGGTCTCCAAGCCTTATGGATATGTGTATGACGCTCCAAAACCCTTAGGTTACTAGAACCGCTGCATTTGATTTTCTAAACCCCAAAAATAACGCATATGTTCACTGTCCATTCCGCAAACCAGTGAAAATTTGGTGATTTTTCAGAGGTTGCTCTCATGTGAGAACCCGTAGGGGATGGCGATGTGCTTAGGTTCGTTGGATTAGTATCCAACACCTCCGAAATACATGTATTAACATTCATGTTGCTTCCCTATCTGTCGCCTATAACTAACCATTGGCTAGGGTTGTCATTTTCTCCTAAATCAAATGTCCATGCATATGTTTTCAAGTGTTACAAATTGCACTCATTCTCAATCCAATGCTCAAATCAATGTTCTAATAAGCATTAGTCTGCCTTCCCTTCCTAACATAAGTCCGTTGTTGTCAATTTCTCCCCCTCCATCAGTCCATTGAGGGTGAAATATCTCTCCATTTTGTAGATCCATCTGCGTGCATCCTCCCCTTCAAAAATGGGTATCTTCAGCTTCCTCGCCTTCGGAACTCCCCCATTTCCCCGTATTAGTCCATAATTTTTCCTTTCCCAAGTGCTTGGCTCCTCCCAAGTCTTCCGATCTTTCCTTCCACGCTCATACCCAAACCCCTCTTCACTTTCTCCCCTTTTTTCTTCAAAATCAGCACCCACCCTTCCTACCATAATATCCTTCTTCTCTCTCAACCAGCACCCCTTGGTTCATACCCCCCATAACCACGCCTCATTTCATACCTTCCACCAATATCCTCAAGGATCTCCACATCTTCTTCCCTCCTACGAATTTCAGAATTTGTATTTCTTTCTCCCAGACCCTTTGCCTCCGATGCCGCCGTTTGATTTTGATTTTCCAATATCTTCTTCCCATCTCATGAAGATCTAAAACCTTGCCTTCTAGTGATGAAATTTGGTCCTCCACCGTTGTTTTTATTTGGCTCATCTCCCCTTCTAGTCTTTCTTCCAGCGCATCCACTTTCTTGGCCGCCATCAATCCCCGGATTTTTGTAGATTCAAAAATTGTATCTTGATCCCAAAAATCAGCAACTTTCCCCTTCACGGGCCAAAAAACAGCAACTGAAATTCACAAAAACAGCCCACAAACATTCTCAAAATTTGCTTTGATACCAATTTGTTAGCATATACTTGAAGATCTCAAGTAAACCCTAATAAGAGACACAAAAAACAGTGAGAATACTCAACAAGTAGAGGAAGAATCAGAGAAAAACAGCCCACTTTGTCAAAAAAAATCAACTAACGGAAGAAAAACAAACAAGATACAAGTGATCCTCAATTCGAGAGGAGGATCGATCTCTCTCAATCTCTAGACAAAGCTAGAGCCCAAACACTAAGAACAAGAGACTCCAAATCAGCCACAAATCAAAGCATAACCCCTAACCCTAATCCATCCTTCCTACTTAAAGCATGTAGTTAATCAATTAAGCCCAAATTACATGTTTTACCTTGCTGCCCCCTCCTTTGGCTCCAAAACATGTGAATGAATTAGTGGGCCCCATCTCCCTGTCCCTCTCTCCTACCGCCCGCCTCCTATACACTTGAGCCGGTCCTTGGCAAGGGGCCAGTCCAGGGGCCAGCTGAACCAGTCTAACATATACATAATGTCATAATTACATGCTTATAATAAACTTTCTAATTAATATGAGTATTGTATTTTCACTAAATCTTTAGTCATTTAAACCTAATTTAAGTAGTTAAGTGCTCCTTAGTAGTTTAGGAGTTTTCTTTAGTAAGAATTATTAGTCTTAATGATTTTTATTAGTTAAATGTTTATATTGCTTAATTTCTCAATTAAACACCTTCAATTTTGTAATTTTTTTATTTTTATTTATTTCAATCTGTAATTTTAGCAATTAATAAAAAAAAATCTCAAATGCAAATAGTAAAGCATAAGGAGCAAGTATAGGCTTTAGTATAAAATAAAGGGTACACTAACATTCATTTCACTCAAAGCAATACATCAAAAACATGAAACTCTAACAAAACACATGAAACAAAAATAAATAACAAAATAATAACATAACAACAATAAAATAAAAAGCAATCCTTTCACTCCTCTTCCTCTGCTGGCTATTGGTAGTGGTGGTGGGGGTGGTGCTGGCTGCCACAAGTAGGCCTTGTAAGTCAAGGCTGTTTGGGATAGGGGCTGATCAAGACCCTGGAACAATTGGCAGTTTTTGAACATTCCAACGAACGCTTCATTGAACTTAGAAGCATATTGATACTATCATTTTTGCATGTCTATCACATAGTCTACTTTGTGGCTCATTCTTTGTTTCCATTGCCTATGCCCCCCTCAAAGTAAGTATGCATATGAGCAACTTGCTCCCTGAGGTCAACAGCCTGATCTCATAGGGTCCTAGGGGCTCTGAACTTGGGTTGACTTACTGGATTGGCTGGGTTGACTGGGCTGACTAGATTGACTAGGTTCATCCCCTTCTTTCCTAGTGGTAGTCTTAAATTGTTCAATTTTGGCTTTGGTGATAGAAGAAATAGGGAAGAGTTGTTATTCCTTGAACTTACCTAAGACACTACCAAGCAAACACAAAGCATAAATAAGAGAAGGGTGATCATAACCCACAGAAGTAGATCCACGAATCATGTACAGGAGGGAATGATTGATAATTTTTCCTATGTCCATAGAGTGGCCAACTTGAATAGAATAACTCAAAAGTGCTCGATCATCGGTCACTTTGCTAATATTGGTGTGTAGTATAAATCAAGCAGAAATAAGCAAATGACAAGCTTTTGACACTCTACTGAGTGTCGATGCATGAAAATTAACTATGTTCCCTCCCTCACTTTTTACTCAACTCAAAAGCGGGGTCCAACCAATACTCTAATATTTTTTTATGGGTCTGCAGGAGTGTTAATAAGGGCAGTATAGTCATCAAATTCTAGTTTGGGGGTCTCATACACTCTATTGATAGTCACACTATCAAATGCTACCCACTTCCGCCTAACAAATGCCCTGTTATCTTGGGGTTCCCTTTCGATAGCATAGAACTCCTGGACAATAGAAACTATACATGTAGCAGGCTCAACAAAAAAGTTTTCCCACCCCCTATTTACTATCATCATTTCTACCACTCCTTAGAATTTCTAAAACCTTGCGTAGGGATAAGTTGCTTGTGTACAATAGAATTGTTGTACCTTTCTTCAGCAGTGGAGCTCACTAACCTATTTTTTGTCGTGGGAGTCATCTTTCTAACTGTGATTTTAGGAGCCATTGCTACTTGAAGGAACGAATTCACAAGAAACATAAAGCTAAGAGGGCAAGGAATGTAAAGAGTAGTGTGAAATGAGGAAATCGACCATCCTTTCCTATATAAGTGTATGGTGCCACTGCACTGAGTGTGGGAGTGTTGCGATGCTCGGCCAATCAAAGGAAGGATGAGCGTTGTAGTGGTGTGGTCAGATGGCGCTGTGACGCTACACATTTGAACTTGAAACAAAAAGATTCTGACCAATCCACCAATGCAGCATTTGACATATGTCAGTGCCGCGGTGTACAAAATGACCTCCACTGAAACGCAACAGTTAAATAATTGATTTGATTAGGCATAGTGGAGTTAGTGTGGCGCATCGACCCTAAAATGAATTTGACAAAATTCTAGAGAGCATAATCGTAGCGCCATGTTAGACCTGTCCTCCCTGGACCGGTCCAGCCGGCCCAATCCAGTGGGCCTGTTCATTTTTACCGAAGGAGGGGGCGGGCGGAACAGGAGGCG